TTTTTTTTCCTCATAAGATTTTAGGATTTTTCTTTCTTTTTTGAAAGATGTTCACCTTACCATCATTTTGGAAATAGCCCCTAGTGTATTACTTCATCGTTTTTTCTTCTTTTTAAGATTATTTCCAACATTTTTTATTTTTAGTTGGGTTTAACAATAAATAAAACGGCTTTTTGTAGCGATTCAGAAAACCGGAAAAATCAGTTATCCGGAATAGCGATGGTCCCGATCGATCCGGATAATCGGTTCCCTACTGTATATATATTTAAAACCAAAAAAAAAACCTGTTTAAATTTGTTAATGTATCACTTAGTAAAAAAAAAATTGCTTTTCAATTTTTTAAATGCATGAATTAATAATAACCTGTTTATTAATATATAAAGCATGCAACTATATTTGAAAAATTGATCTTTTCAGACTATATTATTTAAATTTCTATTTGATTTAATATCATTAAAATGCATAAAAACATTACTAATAAAAATTACTTTTTGAAAAAACCCGCTTAAATTTTTCAATAGTACTTTAAAATTATAAAATTCGAGTTTCTTTTACTTTACAAATATTAAAAACTTAATCATATACATCATGCAACTTTATTTGACAAATTTATGCTGCACAATAAATTATATAAAAGTAAATATGCAACACTAAGTGTTAATAAAAATATATTTTTTTTAGAAAAAACCCACTTACCGTTTAAAGTGGGTTTTTTCAACGTTAGCCCGCCCAATAAAACCCGGACGGTTTATTTCAAAGTGGGCCCACTTGGCAAACCATGTGTTTATGCAACTATTACTACCTATAATTGCTGTCAACATGTCTTTTTTTTTATCTCGTTTTATAACCGTCATTGAACAGCCGACCCAATTTTTTGGGTTTACAACTACTAATGTTCAACTCCGTAGCCTTGTCGTTTTAAGCACAATCCAGAAGATAAAGGAACTCCTGGATCGAGTATTAAGAGAAATTCGCCTTCGTGGAGGGAGCTACCCGCATTTGCTTTACATGGAGAGGAAAACCTCCTGACGGCAAGGAGACTCTAACAAACCCACGATCCGTCTACCGCCGAGAATATTGTACGTCAGCACTGTGGTCAGTGCAAGTCGGATGTGGGATTTGCATGGACCAGCGACTGCTGGGATTCAAACCCGGTTCACCTCATTGGAAGGCGAACGCTCTATTACGTGAGTCATCATGGCTCTCGGGCATGCATTGTAACAATAAGTTGGAGAAGAACTTTAATAAATAATAATTCTAAATAGTATGTTTATTTTTTGCACTTTAATTATCATGCAGGGCTCGTGTTGAGGACATCATATTGTTAGCCAGTAAATTAACCAAATATCAAAAGTCTTAACCAAAGACAAATGTTAAGACTTCAGTCGAGGGAGGGGAAATGTGGTATTTATTGCATTTAGAATTTTATTTTTGTAATAAAAAATAATTTTCTATCTTTTATAACAATATAAAAAACAAAATTAAACAGTAAAATTTTTTTCTCCATTTTTGGTCCATATATTGGCGATCGCAACACTCGAATACGCCAGTTTCATGCCTTTAGCCCTTCTCCTTTCCCTCTCCTCCTCTTTTCAGTTGTATAGGAATGTACTACAATATTTCCCTTTTTCTTAATATTTTTTCTTTTTATTTAATTATTTATTTTGATTTATTTATTATGTGATACTTTTCTTTAGAACTATGTTTAATGCAGTTTTCAGTTCCATATAGTTTTGTTTTCCAACTTAAAAGATTTTAATTTATATGAAAATCAAGAGAGAAACTAACGTACTGCTTCCTTTATGACTTTCCACATTGCTAATGGGGAAAGCATGGGGAGTGTTGCCATAGGTAGAGAGTTCTACTCTACGCCACCTGCAGCCCATTTCGATCACCAATATCACTGTTAAGGGGTTAAACAGGGTTGTCCTTTAACAGGGGAGAACCCAGGAAGTACAGGGAAAAATCATCTAAAATAACAGGGAATTTTGATTTAACTGGGAAAACATAGGGAATTTGGTTTCTTAAAAAATGGTGACCCCTCAAAGTGCAATCTTATGAAATATCTAAGGATGATATTTACAGCTATACTAAACTATTACTCTAGCATTATATTTTTTGAGCAGGTTCAGCTTGGTTCCTCTAATTATAAATAGTATAGTTAGCAACTCAAGCAAGAGGACAGTGTTTCTCCTTTTAATATATTGTGTAAAATATATATTCTCCAGATTTGCTGAAAAAATATTTTTTTAATCATAATATTTTTAAAAAGATATTATGTTTTATTTATTTATTTTTAGTCAGTTGTCGTTGACATGGCTGACAAAGAAAAGTATGACGCAAGCAATCCTTTAGTCATTGTTTCTAAAAAGAAATCTCATAAACCAGTTGAAAAACAGAATACACAAACTTCCAAAAAACCATTATCAAAAAAACAAAAGAAGAAGCTTGAAAAAATTCTAGAGGCAAAGAAAAAGAAGCAAAATGTAAGTTTTTTTTTTAATTTTTTGGTTTACATTGTGTGCAAAATTGGTATTCCTTCATTGATTCGATCAAATATTCATTTTATCCTATTCTACTTATTTTTCTAACTAATTTTTGATTACTGTTTGTGTATATATATAACTTGTATGTAAAAGCTTCAATTAATCTTTTTATGTTATTCCTTTTCTGTAAATCCTTTTCTTAATTTCTTATTCAAAATGAAGTACTTCCTCACACTGTTAAGTTCACATCCGGTCCTTTCATCTATTTTTGGTTCAAGTATGCATTAATTAAACGTAAAACATTTTCCCCTTTGCTCTTAGTGGAAATTGCGCGACCTTTTTAATAAACTAATTACAATTACTAAGATTTCCCTAAAGCGAGACATTTTTATTTTCTCTGCAAGATTTTTCCTGATGTTTATGGAACAGCATGACGATTTCGACTCACTCTCTTTTCTCATCATCACATAATGATTAAATAAAATAAATTTGCTCTTTTTAAAATCCTGTGCCTGTTTGTTCTGCCAGCCTTTCATATATACATACAGGGGTCTGTTTAAAAGAAATTCGGGTCCATTAACGGACCCTTCGCAAAATATCTTTTCATAAAAACGGATTCTTCACAAATTTGTTTATCTTTATTATTTTGTTAATCAAATAAACCCTTTCCCTGGGGGGGGGGGACATTTCGAAGCAAACTAAGTTTTCCTAGTTTGCCTAGGTTTAAATCTCAAGTGTAGTATTCTAAGAAAATATTTACAAACATTGTGCAGATTCTTATTGATATTAATTGATATTTTTTTTGTTTGTAAATAAATAATTGATCCATTTATATTTATTCATAAAATTAATTAATAGAATATTATGTACATAACAATTAATTCCTGGCAATTTTTTATAAAATATTATAAAGGGCAATTATTAATAATTAATTTCCTGGCAATTTTTTATAAAATATTGTAAATTTTAGAATTGTTTAAGTTTACTGAATGTGTAACACATTTAAAGTAATATGTGGTGGTTGGTTGTATCCAGGAGATGAATAGACGGGGTTTACATTTTAATTGGTATTTTATTTAATATTTAATTATAAAGTACACAAGGGAAAGTATAAAATAAGAGCAGTGCGTCTACAATGGCGGTTATGCTTTTTCTTCGTGTGAAAATGACAGAGACAGTTACTGATCGTAACTGTCGCGGTTACGATTAAGTTAAGTTCAGTCGCCGCACAAAATGTGAGTGATTTTATTTCCATTATTATAAACCAGGGGTCTGTTTAGATGAAATTTGGGTCCTTCACAAAATATCTTTTCATGAAATCGTAGAGTGGAGACACTGTCCAACCACAGTATTTAAGAGAAACCAGGAGTCTGTTTAGATGAAATTTGGGTCCTTCACAAAATATCTTTTCATGAAATCGTANGACGGTTCGAGACAAACTAAGTTTCTCCAAGTTTTAATTCCAATTGTAGTATTCTAGGAAAATATTTCTAATTTACTAACGAATTAAAATATTATGTACATAAAAATTAATTTCTGGCAATTTTTTTTAAATAAAATATTATAGAATTTATTAAGTTTACTTCATGCATAACACATTAAAAGTGATACACTACTAAGTTGTGTTATTTAAAATATGTCCATTGTAATGATTAAAAATGTGAGTGAGATTTTGTTTCCGTCATTAGTTCGAAACGAATATTCTGCTTTGAGCAGTATGGGATAAATTCCAAATATTTGTATGTTGCATCTCTAATTTAGTAGCAGCAATTGTTGAGCAGAATCTTGTATCAATTTATAATTTAAAAACTTCTTGAAAAGGTTTTTAGCAATTTTTGCAATAACAGGACCCTATTTGCACACATTCACGAAAGCAGGACTCTGGTTGAAAGAATGTGACTTAACACTTATTTTATGTTCTCAGATTATGAATAGTTTTTTCACAATTTTACAAAAACAGGACCTTTTACAAAATGCCTGGACAGACCCCTGATATAGTTATAAATTATAGAATATTTTACTCTTCCACTTTCTATGGACTTAGCATGGGTGCCACTCATCAGTCTTGAGAAAAAGTCCCTGAATTCAATACAATAATTAATATCTTTCTAATTTGTTTTTCTGAATTTTTCAAAGAAAATATTTTCGTATTTTGCTTAAAAAATTAACAAATAGTTTTGGTTAAAAATAATTTAAAATAATATTACTTTTTAATGAAAATGTTATTTTTCGTCATTGCAAAAGAAGCAAACAATGATGTGACATCACAATGAAAGAATCATTACGATAATACTTCCGACGTCTTCAGTGTTGACTCTGTGTCAGTTTGTTTTTTCCCCTCNTATATTTACTTTTTTTTTTTTTTTTTTTTGAAATTTTGAGAGAATAGAAATCAAATTGAGATTATTTTTTTAAAAAAATAAAATTTATAAAGCTTGGGCTAAATATTCTGATAAGTGAAAAATATGTAGAGAAATATGTCTATGAATGACTCCAAGAAGAAATGGGTAATTTTTTTACAGCAAATGGTGTAAAAACGGATATGAGGTGGCTTTTATATTTGTTTTGTTTGGTTTAAAAAAATATGTAACTATTTCTTTAAATTAAACGAGTCATTTTCATGGAAAGATGCTTTTTAAAATCATTGAGCAATATATTACTGTTGAACAGACGGTGAAAAAACTAAGTTTAGTCTTTAAATTGGCGCACATGATTGTACACCATTTGAACTTTTATTTTTAAACCCATTTTTTAAGAAAAATTCAACAATACCTACTATTAATCATTTTTTTCTACTATTCTTACTATTAGTTTAGCACTCTCCCAATATATCTTGTTCAAATTTACAATAAAATACATTTTATTCATCCACTCAAGTTCAAATACATTTTTTTTAAAACTCGTACTGGATGACACTTGTATGTTAATACAGTTTTTTCAAATATTTAATTCATTCATTAAATAGGGATGAGCGAAATGGAATTTTCTGATGGGTTAGTCATTGTTTTAAATTTTACAAATTCAGTTTTTCAAATTTATTAAAGATAACATCTGAGATTATTTCTAACTTATAACTTTCTAGCTCTATTCGAACAAAAATAAAATAGTTTATGGCACGCATCTCAATATTTAATTATTTTATGTTTGCTGTGTCAGATAAATTCAATAAAGAACATTACGCGCGTATGGTCCACATCACCAAATTTATACTTTTATAATTGTCTGATTCCATGTGCCTTTTTTTTCCACTATTCTTACTATTAGAGTTCACACTCTCCCAATATATTGTTTAAATTTTCAATCGTTAATAAAATACATTTTATTCATCCACTCAAATGTATTTTTTTAAACTTGTAGCGGATGATGTCGATAGTTTTTTAATTATTTATTAAAAAGTATTTTTTGTTGAAGGAATTTACTTTTATATTACAGTACAGAACCCGTTATCCAGAAATCAGAGAACCGGAAAACCAAAAAACCGATACGAAATTCGATACATTTTCCCGCCATTTTTAAAAAGAAGTTTTTTTTTCCTCATGAAATTTTAGGATTTTTCTTTCTTTTTTGAAAGATGTTTGCCATACCATCATTTTAGAAATAATCATTACTGTATTACTTCATCGTTTTTTCTTCTTTTTAAGATTATTTCCAAATATTATTATTTTTTTTAGTTGGGTTTAACAATAAAAAAAACCGGCTTTTTCTAGCGATTCAGAAAACCGGAAAAATCAGTTATCCGGAATAGCGATGGTCCCGATCGTTCTGGATAATCGGTTCCCTACTGTACTTGTTTCTGCGTTGTGAAGAATGGGAACAAATATTATCGTGACTAAATATAATAAATGGGCAATTTTTTTGCCAATTGCTACCCGATTCAAACCCACCACGTGGCAGAATTTTTTCGAGCTATTTGCGGCAAATTACTTTAGCACTGATATCTTTCTGCAAGATACTTTTAGTAATAACAAGTATATAGGTTACTAATTTAAAGTAACAGAAGTGTTGCATTTACAGAGAAAAAAAACTTATCGGATAAAATAAAATTGTATATAATTCTTTAAGTGAATAGGTACTATCTTTTCATATTCTAATTCGGTGGGCAACATTCTTGCATTCTGTAGAAGGAAAAACTTGTAATTATTTCCTTTTGCGCACTTTGTAAGTCATCATCACATTAAGAAAATAATTAAAAATCGAGAAATCCGTAGCTGTAACTACCGAAAAAAGTTCGATGGCAAATCTCTTCGAGAAGAAGTTGCTTAATGTGTGTGTGGAAGAATCTTTCTGCAAGGACTACGATTATGTCATTGTGTCACCACAATTCTGCCACGGGGGCGCCCCATATTTTCATTTTGTTATTGTTTTAGTTAAAAATGTAGCCCATGTGCATTTTGTTACTAATTTTTTAAAATAAGTATAGAATTATGAAAATTGTCTTAAAATTACTATTTTACACTTGTTTTCATGATTTTAGCTATGAACCTTGTACAGGTTGGTAGCGTGGGTAGCAGTCAGTGATGTGAAGATTTTGGCATCACGATGTATCGCCACTCTAACATCTCACTATTTTGTAACATCTCAATGTTTCTTTCACTATTTTGTTTTTGTGTAATTTCAAATTCCTGCACTTTCTAATTGACAAATTGAGGCAATTATATTCTTGTAATGAACTCAACCCTCAGTTACCTTACAAAAAATGTTAAAAGTTATCAATAGATTGTACTTTTTTTAATAAAAAAAATCAATAAATCACAACAGTGACATGATATATTGGTAATACAAGATTGAATAACTTGTACAGGAACATCGCACATGTCTCTGTAAATTGCAATTTTTGATGTTTTGTAAAATTGCAAATTCTAACATCAAACCGCCGATGATTTCATAGTATCGATATTTTCTGAGCTTCTGATTATTGCCCTGTCTTCCTATTATATTTTATATTTATATTTTATGTGTGTTTATATCTTGTGTTTATATTTTATGGTATGTTTCATTAAAAAATATTTTGGGTAGCCCAAAAGTTTAGCATATATATGTTATTTCATGACCTAATATAATAATATTCTCGATTATAATAATTTCTTTTTAGGCCTATAATAATTTCTTTATGAGTATAATATGAGTGACTTTATGAGTATAATAATTTCCTTTTATGTCTATAATAATTTCTTTATGAGTATACGAATATAATAATGGTATTTAATCATGTAGTTATTATATTTATTTCGATACAGAGAGCAGAACTATTGAAAAAACTATCTGAAGTTCAAGCATCTACAAATATTTTAAATCATCTAACGTCTACTGCTGATATGCAAACATTTGGAATTAAAAGGTAACTGATGTTTTACTGTTATTTGTTTTTCCCTTAAACCACTAATCAGTATTCAGTGGTTACACTTAATACAAAAATATAATATTTGATTTTTTTAAAAATTAAATTCATGAGTACCATAGTTATGTATGAATTTTGGGTATTTACCCAGATAAATACATTTGGTCTTAAATTATCAAAAACCTGTTATTTTTCATCGATTATCAGGGGTGTGTCCAGGGTACTTCACAAACTCAACTGTACTTTTAAAAAGCATTCTTATTGCAATCGATTGTCTTTTAACAAAAGTTTGATCATATGGTGGTATCTCTTTTAAAGGCTCTATAAAACTGTACTCAAGCATTATCTTAAGCACTATTGTAAATTTATTTTAACAGAACTTTATTTTTTATGAAGCGTTTTTTTTTTCTCTGTGAAACTTTTTTCTGTGAGGCCTAGTTGAGAATAACTTCTAGTGTTAAATGCATGTTTTTATTAAATTCAAGTTGAAATTTAACTATGATTTTTATGGATTTTTAAATTTGGATGCAATTTTAAGGTCAAAATTTTACAATAGCAGAATTATGATTTCTATTTGTAGAGAAAAATTTTTAAAATATTTTCTTATTTTGCCATATTTTTGTGTTGATTTTTTAATATAATTTTTTATTTTCACAAATTATGTCTAAATTTTCACAAAGTAGGTATCGCTCAAAAAGGGCCCTTGTTTATTATATAAGGTCCTACTAAATTTGGAGCATTCGTAAAGTTATCATTTCACCTCCTTTTTTTATAAATTTTTACAGTACAAATGATACAGTGACTGAAGCACACTTCTGTGCCGCTCTTAAAATTGAGGCAGTCTCTCTTCATGAATTCAACATTGGAATTAAAAGGATGTATGTGTAAAGAATTTTTTGTTTAAAAAAATAATAATAATAATTTCATCAGAAGAGTGAAAGGAAAATTTTTTTGGCTGTTAATTTATTATTTTGGGGTTTACTAAATAGGCAGGGCTCTTCTGGGAGAATAGGGATTTTTTCGTCTTTTATAAAATGGTGACCACTCAAAGCGTGGGGATATTTAAGGATGATATTTTGTTTATTATAAGCAGCAGGGGTGCTACGCCTGCGCCATTTCCGACAAACTGAGACAAAACGGCATAACTGCGCCATTTTGCGACATTCAGCTCAGTTTCTGTCAAAGCTGTGCCATTCTGAGACAAAACGTCCAAAATTTGACAAACCTGAATTCAGTTTCAAAAATTAATCCGCATCGCCGTGAGTCATTGGAGAGCATTTTGCCGTTCACGCCTCCTAAATACGTCATTTAAATGTCAGAAATTCCGTTTGGCAAATCAGCTATTGGAATGCATATAGAATATGCGTTTTGTGTCTACAATTGGATTATGTACGGCAGTGAGTAGCAATCAGTATCGTATGCACGTGATCTTGTAAAAAAAGAGGGTATTCTTCCCTTATACTATTGGTTATTATCTTGCTTTTTTTTCTTAGGAAACTGTGCAGTGCACATAATTATTCAGGGATGAAAGACTTCCGCAAAAAAGCGGAAATCCGCTTTTTTCTCCCAATTTTTAAAATTTCCGACCATCTTCCAAAAACTAAAATTTTTAGGGAGTCCAATTAGAGAAACCCAAGCCGCCGGAACGATAGTCGGATTACCGCGACTTCCGCTATAGAGTGGAAAGGAGTCTAAGCGTTTCGTTTCGACCGCCGATATTTGATTTATTTTTGTTTGGCTGATTTTCGGAATTTTAAATATTAGGAACTGCGCTGGAATATGCTAAAATTGCGATTTTTTATCAGACGATTTTAATATCAATCATCGATTTTCGTATTTAACTGATTTAAAGCTTGCGTGTTGCAATTTTTTTTACAATAATTTAAAAATCGTACTAGCAATTCCTATTCACTCAATTTAAAAATTCAATATCGCGATTTTAAAATCTAACGTCGCGATTCGTATTCACGCATTTTTAAATCCAATATTGTGATTCGTTATCACGCAGTTGTAATATCAGATCTCGTTTTTCGTATTTGTACGCTATTTAAAAATTACTCATTGCGATTCGTATTCACGTGATCTAAAAATTATTCATCGTGATTCTTATTTACGCAATTTAAAAATTCAATATCGCTATTTGTATTTTCGCGTTTTTAAAATCCAACAGCGCTATTCTTATTCACGTGATTTTAAAATTCAAAATCGTGATTCATATTCACGCGATTTTAAAATCCAAAATAGTGATTCATATTGACGCGATTTTAAAATCCAATATCGTGATTTGTGTTTTTTAAATCCAGCTGCGCGATTCATATTCACGTGATTTTATAATCCAAAATCGTGATTCATATTCACGCGATTTTAAAATCCAATATCGTGATTTGTGTTTTTAAAATCCACCAGCGCGATTCATATTCACGTAATTTTATAATCCAAAATCGTGATTTTAAAATCCAATATCGTGATTTGTATTTTCGTGTTTTTAAAATCCAACAGCACGATTCATATTCACATGATTTTATAATCCAAAATCGCGATTCATATTCACGCGATTTTAAAATCTAACTGCACGATTCATATTCACGTGATTTTAACATCCGATATCGTGATTCATATTCACGCGATTTTAAAATCCAATATCGTGATTCATATTCACACGATTTTGAAATCCAATATCGCGATTCATATTCAAGCGATTTTAAAATCCAATATCGCGATTCATATTCACGCGATTTAAAATCCAATATCGCAATTCATATTCACGCGATTTTGAAATCTAGTATCACGATTTTAGAAAGAAGTAGAATTAAGTTTTTTCTTGAATTAGTTACTGTAAAGATGTGATATATTTTTCTACAGTTGTTGCATTTAAACAATTACTAAGTGCATTCATAATTACATTTTATGATTGTATATTGAGCTATATAAATTAAGAGAACATAGTTAACTAACTGATCTTGTGATTGCAAGAAAGTACAATCTACTAGTCAATGCCAATTAACTAAAAAGTTTACTTTTATACTTAATAAAGGATACAAGTAATTTTAGAAAGAAAAGTATATTTACAGTGTTTTCATTACAGAAAAAAATGGGAGAGAATTTCTCGCTCTTTCTCAAAAACAGGGTGAGATTTCAAAAAGTTAAGTGAGATTTCTAAAAATTTAAAAAACACGAATAGACTTGGGAAAAAATATTTCTTTAATTATAATACATTTTTAACATCTTCTAATTTCTAAACCATTGAATATTTTTATTGCATCATCATATGGAAAATGTTCTACATCTACTTTTTCATCAACTATTCTCATTAGGTTGCTCAAATGCTCATCAGTCAAATCTGTTATGATATTTTGTTTTAATTCGGTTTTGAGTGCTAAATGACAGGTGCTGAACTATTCGGAATCACTAATTAAATTTGTGGCATTGTGCACTTTCCCATCCTCTACATCTGCCAGTATAGGCTTTTCAATTATTTCTGTTATAGTATAGTGAAGTTCGTTGAAGTTATATCCATGTTCATACTTCTTGTTAGGTCTTCCAGCCTAGTTTTCACAGACTTCAACTTTTACAAATTGCTGTAAATTGTTGGTGAGGGAGTTCTGTAATTCATTTACAGCTAAAAATGGAGCTAACTTTAAACAACTTATTATGAAGGACTCTTTTTTTTTTTTCTCAACACTTGTGCAAACTTCTCGCATTAATCATTTTTTAATGCGAGAAAAGAAAAAAATATGCGAGATTCTTTCGTTCTCGCACTGTACTCATAACACTGATTTATATGTGTCTTTTTAAATTGTTTATAATAGTTTTTTTATATTTCTGTTTTGATATAAAAATGTATATATGCTAATTTTTGGCTATTAAGTGCTCCGTAAAATTTTCTTGAAAAATTCCTACCTAAAATATTTCAAAATTTCACTGCACCTCCTGAATTCTATCAAAGAGTGGTTTTTCTTTTGTGTTATTTACATTTTCTTAAACTCTCATTATTTAATTGCTGAATTTCTCTTTTAATTATTGAAATCTGTAGACCTTCCATTGTAACTGAATAGTTATATATTTTGAGATGAAATTTGAGCTCAAAATAAAATGGGTATTTTCCCTTTTGAATTACCAAAACTAAATAAATATTTCTTTTTAGAAAGGTTACACCATTTTATTTTAAAAAATAAGAAAGTTAAAATTTACTTTGTACAGATACTATTCATTACAGATACTATTCATTGGCATAAGTGATAAATGCAATATATATGAAAACAACAGAGTCCACAAAACAATTTTGTGGACTCTTATNTTTCTTTTTGGAAAGTTTACACCATTTTATTTTAAAAAATAAGAAAGTTAAAATTTACTTTGTACAGATACTATTCATTACAGATACTATTCATTGGCATAAGTGATAAATGCAATATATATGAAAACAATTTTGTGAACTCTTATAATCAATCATATACAGGTTTTTTAAAATCCTAGCAATAGTGAATGTATGTATAATTGTAGTACTCCTAGTATGCTATTAATGGTTTTATGGATCCTGAAAATTATCTTTATATTGTTATCAAACTGAGATAAACTGAGTCAAAAAATAATTTTAGCTGAGACAAACTGGGCCAAAAAGAGATTTTAACTGAGACGAAATGCAATTTCTGGTGAGACAATTTGATATTTTGCGAGTAGCACCCCTAAGCATTATTTATTTTAAGTTGGTTTAGCTGTTGCTTATTTCACGCAATTATAACTAGCCCAATATAGCTCACACAATGATTGCCTCTTAATATACAGGGAATTGTTTTTTAAGGATTTGAGTGACTGAATATGTTTTCAGTTTATGATTTCAGGTTCCATTTTCATGGTGTTAATATTTCAGAAAATTATTTATATTTTAGAGTTTGTCTACTACAACAATATTTTGTGAGCATTCTTTATAAAGTTTTCTTCACTTTAGATTGGCGAATGAATCTCTTCGTGTACGTAAGCGGCAAAAAATTAGCAACATTAAAGGATTGAAGTCAAATAGAGAGTCTGATGAATCGCAAGTAGATTCCAGTGAAAGTTCAAGTGACGATCAAGTCGACGTAATTACAACAGAGACCACAAAAGAAAAATCTCCAGCTAAGCGGCAAAAAATTAGTAACATTAAAGGATTGAAGTCAAATAGAGAGTCTGATGAATCGCACGTAGATTCCAGTGAAAGTTCAAATGACGATCAAGTCGACGTAATTACGACAGAGACCACAAAAGAGAAATCTCCAGCTAAAGAAGTGAGAAAAGAAAATGAAACAAATATTTCTGGAGAAAATGTGATTTCAGATAAACCTACATGCACGCCTACAATTTTTGTTCCAGTTTATCGTAAGCCTGAAATTCAGGTAAGAAAAATTTTCCACATTCTTTTTGTTTTATCTATGCAAGAATAATTGTGTATTGCAGTTAAACGCATTCCTTGTACCACAATTTTTTCGGGTATTCTGCGAGAAAACTCTCTATCACTAACATCTTTCTGCAAGATACTTTTAATAATAACGAACATATATGTTACTAATTTATGCTACTAATATATGTTACTAATTATTATCAAAAGCAATGTGTTTGCAAAGAAATAAATTATCTATATTGGATTTAGATACTGTGGAGAAATCATTAGTAATAACTGTCAAAAAGTCGATAGAATCATTGCCTTAATAAGTATATACTCAATTGCACGATTCGATTTTTCCATAGTGTTTGAAATATGTTGGGATATTTAAAATCCACAGGAAATATACAAACAATATCGATAACTGCCGAAAATACAATCGAAACATTACATCGATTTACGATCCTGTCGGCCTAAATTGAGCGCGTCAAAAAGTGATTATCTGAAAGCATGATTCAAATATTACATGTAAATTTCTGCAGAAAGGAAAATCTTTTCTACTAAAATCTTTCTACTAAAACCCTATATCATTCTGCAGCGATGTTGCAGTGTCTCTGCCATGGGGAGTGTGTTTAGTATTATCTCTAATTTAATGAGATATTGACTGCTATCTCTAATTTAATTTTTTTTTAAGTGATTAGTTTTAAAAGCTTTATAAACAAAAATATATAAACTTCACATATTTTAAGATTGTTGTACTAATCTTTCCATATTAAGTAAAATAAGATCTGTGAAAGGAACATATTTCAAAATAATTCTATTTTTATCTTTTTTTTATTACATGAATATTACTTGTATAAATAAATCTAATTTAATTTAGGCTGTAAGCGAAGCTCTTCCAATTTATTCTGAAGAACAACCTTTGATAGATGCCATCAAAGAAAACTTAGTTATAAGTGTTCATGTTATAATTGCAATAAATTAGCAGTTCTTTTTTATTATCAGTAAAATAGCATAATTAATAATTATAACAGTATCATGTTTAATGTAGTATCTTTAAGTAGGTATGTTTATATAACTCAACTCCATTTTGTTGTTGTAAGTCTTAATGTGTTTTAATGAATCAATTTAGGCTGTGAGAGAAGCTCTTCCAATTTATTCTGAAGAACAACCTTTGATAGAAGCCATCAAAGAAAACTCAGTTATAATTGTTCATGGAGAAACAGGAAGTGGTAAAACGACTCAAGTGCCGCAATTTTTATATGAAGCTGGTTTTACTCAGTAAGATTTTATCCTTCGTTCTTTACATTCTTTTCGTGTGTCATTAATATAGTCCAGAGTTTGATGACCTGGAATAGGGTTGCCTTTCCTCAGGGAGAACAGGGAAAACCTGGTAAATACAAGGATGAAAGACTTCCCCAATCTGCTCTTTTTCTTCCCAAATTTTTAAAATTTTTGACAATGCTTCAAAAACAACCAGTGTCAGTTGTAAAAATTAAGCTTTTATTTTTTATTTTTGTCCACTTTCATACCTGTAAATACAGGGAATTTAAAAATACAGGGAAAATGCAGGAATTTTTGAATTGTTCCTTACAAACTGTATTTCTTATTTTGTCTTTTAAAAATTGCAGACCTCTCAAAACACTGTCTATGGGATATTTAAAGATAATAGTTCAGCTATATTATATTGTTTAATTTATTATAGCATTATTTGTTTTATGTTGAGCTGTTTCTTATTTTTCCGGCAACTAAAACTAGAATCTTTATCCTAATATAGTTCGCAATAGCGCAGTGAATGTTTATTCCTTTTAATATATTGTGTATAATATGTGCAAGGAGAACACAGGGAATTTTTTTTACAGATATTAGTGGTAACCTAGATTTTCTGATGTCGAATTTTATGACAAAAAAATATATGTATGTAAAGATATAATGCCTATTTATATTTTGTAGTATGTACTGACAAAGCTTTATTAATTGTTTCTGAAGACATATTTATTTGATTTTCGTTAGAAACAGCATGCTGATTGGCATCACTGAGCCACGGAGAATTGCTGCCATGAGTATGGCGTCCCGAGTTGGAGAAGAAATGAACATGCCAAATGCAGTCTCTTATCACATACGTTATGAGAAGACTGTTAATCCTGAAACTCAAATAAAGTTTATGACAGATGGCGTATTATTAAAAGAGTTGAAGCAGGTACTTCTTTTTCTCAAATCCCGTTTTAGTGCGAATTCCTAGGGACTGTACAATAATGCGAATTTGATATAATGAATTTCAACATTTACCAAAATTATTTTGGTTCATCGAAATTTTTCTCATAAAAAAATTATATATATTCCATTTAATGACAGTTATTTGCACTCAACAACATATCAAATTCAAAGTTTTAAAATCTCACAAAAACAATTAAATAAAAAGGATTACTTACTTATGAGAAATGACATAATTTTTCTCAGTACAGATGATTTAGAAGGAGTAGAAATTACAAAATTCTCCAAAATGATGCACATTTTCAATCAACTAAACAGGAAATTACTTTTTTTGGTAAGGCCACAAGTATTTTTACTTCTTCAAACATGAATGGGTTTAGTCTTTTCAGGATGGTCCCTTCTGAGTGATTTGTCTTTTTTGACATGCCCCCTTCGTATCTAATACTTTTTATTCTAAAGAAGTAAAAGTATTTGAATTCTGAGATCTTTTGAAGAATGGAAAAATGTTTTGATCTCTGAGAGAAAATGAGAACTGTCACCTTTATTTTCACCTTCGTTAAATCGGATTACCAATTTCGTAATATTATTATTATTAATCATTGTTGAGGTTCACATTTGGGGATGTATATAAGATTGTTTCCAGAATTCAGTACAGCAATGGAAGACAAAAATATGTATATTTTGTCATGGATGTTAAGGGTTACCACTATAATCACCTGACTTCCATTTTTCTCTCCTCGACTCAAAAGTTATGATATTTAATTCAGAAGAGGTTGCATTTCAGCAACTTGCTCAGAGGTTTCTCTTTACAAGAGGAATTATGCCGCTTCCTCCCCCCCCCCCCCAAATTTTTTTTCAACAGACAAACAGAACAATATACTATTTAATCTTATCGCTGTAATTTTTTTTTATCTTATTATTTATAGCAGTTTTTAAAAAAATATTATCTTAGATCAGTGTTAAAAAATTTTTTCAGCCGGAGAACCCTAAATAATCGATCTTTTCGGCGGAACGACAAATTTATAATTAAACAGGGTTGCTACTCCACAGGGAAAACCTGGAAATTAAATATCACCTAAAATAACAGGGAAAATGCAAGGAATTTTGAGTTTTTCTTTAGAAACTGAAAAATTACAGGGAATTTTGTTTCTTATTTTGGTTTTTAAAAAATGGTGACCACTCAAAGCACTTTCTATGGGATATTAAGGATAATATTTCAGCTATACCAATATATTTCATTTACTATAGCATTATATATGTAAATTCAGCTTTTCCCTTTTTTTTTTCTCTATGTTTTTCCAGTAATTAAAATTAGTATAATAGCTTAATATAGCTCACTCATTTTCAGAGCTCACTCATTTTTCCTCTTAATATATTATGTATAGTATGTACGGGGAAAACACAGGGAATTTTTTCCCAGATTTGAGTGACAACCCTGATGGAACCCTAATTCCGTGTCTTTTAGGACACCGGTTTGGAAACTGCTGTCCTAGATAATTATTTGAAATCTGACTGTAATATTTGATCATTTATAATTTAAAAAATATAAAAATGAAAAACTTTATATATATATTTTTTCACATAAATTTTTTTCCTGTATTCCTTGTTTAAATTGCCATTTGTCCGTGTAATTTTTAAAGAAAATTCCAGCATATTTCTTAATGTATTTCCACATAATTTATATGACTCTAACTATGTCGAATTTAATATAATGTTTAAAAACAAAACGAAAAAATTGGTGAAGTTCTTTTAATAAGTATTTATATATACAGTTGAACCTGTTTATCTCGAACATCTCGAAAACCTCCCTAAAAATTTTATTATAATGTATTTTCCATGTTTATCTCTAAATTTTTTTTCAAAACCTACGTTTCTCGAATTTCTAATAATAGTGCACACATGTCAAAACTTTCTTTATCAGTAGAACTTACAGACAGAGATGAATTTCGTGAAGCCATAGGAAGTAGGGATGAACAGGTTGGGGTGTTTCTTGGAATTTCAATCACTATCCCTGCACTTTCTTAGCTAGAAAGGAATGCAATGACTCTGACTTTAATGTTGACATTAGAAGATTTTTTCAAATGGACAGCTGCCTGGCAACATGCGGAACTTTGACAATTGCGAAAATCATAGATCATATTGATAAACCAAAAATGAATGCAAAAGAGGTAGAAAAAGCTGTAGAATTTTACAAACTATTCCCGAATCCCAGGAAAATTTTGGTTATGAGAGATTTGCTGTTCTGTCTAATCTTAACAGAATAATCGAAACAAGGAAGGTTAGACGTCAAAAATTGAAAAAATGTTATGTAAATAGATGTATAGGGTATAATTAATTTACAGAAATGCTTGTATTTTTCTACTAAAAGCAATTAAAGCACTTTTAATCGGATTCCTTAATTAAATTTTATTTTTGTTAAAGTTCCTGTATAACTCAAAACCTCTTTACCTCAAATTTTTCGCCTTTCTCGGAAAATTCGAGATGAACGGGTTTGACTGTATAAGTAATAAATTAATAAAATATTTTGCTCCCAAAGGTGCCATATTAGTGCAAATTACCGAATTAGTAAAAAAATAAAAAAACGATCTTTAATTGCTTTTAATAATTTTTTAAATGTCTTTCAGGATTTCTGGCTTTCGAAGTATTCAGTTATTATTATTGATGAGGCACACGAACGTTCTGTTTACTCTGATGTATTAATCGGCCTTTTGTCCCGCATTATTCATCGTCATGAAAAGGAAAGAAAAGTGAGTTTTTTTTCTGTTTTTACGATTGTTAATTGTATACAAGTACCCCCAAGCAACTGCACGAAATACAGTCGGACCTCGATTTAACGAATCGATTGTGACCGACAAACCTGCTCGTTAAATCGAAGCAATTCATTAAATTGAATGTTAATTTTTGTAAAGAGTGTGGTATGTCAATGCAAAATACCTTTAGATATACAGATAATGAAAAAAAAGTGATTGTTTACCGTGAGCTTAGAAATTAAAAGTTATACCTCGAGCTTAAAAATTAAAAGTTATACGTTAGGAAAACAACTTAAAAAATATATTAATTCTTTAATGCTACTTGCATTTAAAACTTAATACGTAGATATGCATATTGTCACTTATTTGGAAAGAAATCCTGGATAGTGCCGTTTTAACTTTCCAAAATTCATTGTCTACATTTTCTTACATTGTAAGAACATCATCACTAAACTGGTGGGACAAAAAATAAATTTTCAAACTGTTCCAGCTGCATCTTGAAATGTCACCTTTTTTAAAATTTAATTTTCATTTCTTTGTCATCTTCACTGCTTTCAGAATCTTCATTTGATTTCTGTTCACTATTGCAGGGTGGTAGGGTACCTTGGAAGGATGTGCTTATTATAGCAAGATTTTGCTGTAAATTTGTTTGCTAAAACTGTTTCACAAATAATATATATGTTTCCATAAACAGTTAACAAGCCAAATTCTCCCACAAATTGTTTGCATACTTAGTGTTACAGTTTAAATAAAATTATGTGATGGTGCGATTAAAGTAATATTATTTTTATATTAATATAGAGGTTAGATGATGGGTAGAAATCATTGTATAAGTACTTTTATTTGTATTTGGGTATAGTCATGATTAAAAAAAATTTTATTGGTGAACAAATTAAGGCCGAAAATTGTATTAACAGTAAATAAATTAAGGGGAACGGGATCATTAAGGAAAAGTTATAGTACAATGCTATCGTGGTATAACAATAACCCAATAGGTTCAAAGGGTCACAAAGTGGAAAATTTAAAGATACAAACGGGTTGATATAAAGAGCATTAGATTACTGAAATTTATAAAGATTTTACCTTAATATTTTAAGTAACAAAAAATGGGATGCATAAAAAAGAATTAAATTCCTCGATACGGACCGAAGTCCGCATCTCGGAGAAAAAGAGTAACCAGCAAGAAGGAAGCTAAAAAAGAGAATCTCTTTTAGTATCTTAAAAAATTTGTTAACTCGTGTTGGACCAGAAGCCACCAATTTAATTTATTTTAGTTGGCCACCAATTTATTTTAGTTGGACCAATTTAATTTAAAGTGGAGGAGAGTTTGAAAAACAAAAGGAAATAGATTGGCTAAGTTAGCCCCTTAAAAATAAAAGAATAAAAATGAAAGGCGGGTATAGAGGGGTTGATTCTTTCCATAGGAAGGGCAATGACCGTGTTGACCATGAGGAAGGTCAACCAGAAAGTTAAAATAAATATAATTGCTATATTAAAAAAGGGAATCAAGTTTTAAGAAAAGTATAGGATAAGATATAATTAAAGATTAAATTGTCACTTTACATTAAGTGTAAATGTGACACTTAGAGTAGAAAATGTTTATGAGTTAATTCTTGTCAATTTAAGGCAAATTTCTTCCTATTATTAGTTAATTTAATTAGTTAATTCTTAATTAAGTAGTTAATTCTTGTCAATATAAATAAAAGGCAAATTTCTTTCTGCAAGTTTCTTTGGGTTTGAAAAAAAGTGGAAGAAATTCTATCCCAAAAAGAACATAACATAAAACCAATTTTTTAAGCAGTTTATAATTGCAATCTAGTTTAAATAATAGTATTCATTTTCAAGGTATTTATCATTTTTAAATGAATAAAATGTAAAAATACAACAATTAGAGAGAAAAAAATCGAATGAATGTTTTGAAAAATTAAAATAAGTGCAGTGTTTACTGTTTTAGGTAAATGAGTATCAAACCTTATTTTCTTATATTGTAAAAAAAGGTTTAGACATTATATTGAATTTTATTAATATTACTAAATAAAAAAATCACAGACTAAGCATATTGAATTCACTATTACAAATATATAATTTTAATAACCAAATACTTACAAGCTTAAATATTCAAACTGATTTTTAATAATATGATGTGTAGTATCAGTGTAAAATTAATTAGAGATTTCAATTAAAATTAATTATGGAAATAATAGATTTCAGTATAAAATTAAAAATTATGTAAATATTTTTCCAAGCATGTGGGAATTGTTTTCCAAGTAGATGTGAAAAACTTAATTTTTCTGATACTATTTTAAATTTTAATTTGTTTAAATTAAAGCTATTCTTATTGCTTAACGATTGGTCTTTTTTTTTGTTTCCTCCTATTTGGCCAATTTTTTATTTTATTTTCCAGCTTGTTTCTGTGCTGGAAGAAATAGGTTTTTTCAAGACAAACTTCATAAAACAAATTACCGAGAGGAGGCACTCACTGGGACTGGGCTATAAATCGATGTATCGCGACATATCGATTTAACGCCTATATCGGCAAGCCGATAGAGCGACTTTCGTTCCAGGCGATGCATCCGATATTTGATGCATCAGAAATCTGATTTAAGCCGTCGAGGAAAGACGATGAGCGCAAAACTGTATACCGATACAGGACACGCAAAGATCATCTCTTAAGTTCCGATGGCGACTCGCGGTATTCGTTCCGTTATGTTGTGATGGCCTTGATTGATTATCGGTAGAATCAGAACCAGAGTTTTGAGAAAATATATCGTGATCTCGAATTTTAGTTTTCGCATCTCTTAGTTTTATTTTCTTTGTCGCGACTTGATATAGTTTTTTGTAGATTATTTTCAGGGGGACTAACTTCGTTATCGCTGCCGTTGCCTTGTTCTGAACGCAATCTATTAATGAAAAGAATGTATAAAGAGTTTCGTCATTAATTAGGAAATTTTTTTTTTAACAAAACTTTTTTTTATTTTTAAATGTGAAAATTATTTGAAATCTAATTTAAGACCCCCATAAGGAGGTAAATTACAAGATAATTAAATTTGTTAGGTTTTTTTTTACTTTTAATTTATTAAAAACTTTTTGGATAAAACTTCTAATAATTTAAAGGGTTTTTATTACTGATTTTAAACTTATAAATCTTGAGTTGTTTTTATTTTTAAGAATAAAGTTAAAACAAAACTTATCTTTTGTCATTTGGATTTGAACGTAAGTCAATCAACTTTGTTTATACAAAAAAAAATTTAAAGGTTTGCGAAATTTATTCCTTTTTTTCGTTTTATTAGAGAGTATAATCAGTTTTTTAAAATTTTCTTTTAATATTATTAGTTAATTAGCTAAATATATTATCAAATATCACAATTCTTTTGTTTTTATTTTTAATAAATTAAACCTTACTTTGTTTTTCGTTCATAATTCGATCATTATTTAATTTAATGAAATTATTTATGTGAAATAATGATAATAATAAAAATAGTGATTTAAAAGCATTATTTTTTTTCTTTCTAAAATTTATTTAGCACTTTGTTTTAAATAAATAAATAATTTTTAACGAACTTATTTTTTAAATTTTCTTTCTATACTGTTAGGTAAATATATTGATAAATTTCAATTTTATTTAATTTTTTATTATTTATTTTTAAATTAAGAAATCTTTCGTTAAATGCGTGATCATTTTTAGAAAATATAACAAAACTTGCATTTACTTTTTCATTTAGAATTTTAACACTACAATCGAACTTCATAATTATGTAATTATCAAAGTTATTTTTATATGGCTCATTTAGTAAAATCATTTTTTATGACTTAAAACTTTTTTTTTNTATTACAATAAAATTTCTCTAAAAACTAAAGTTACAGTAAAATTTCGCCAAATGACAGTGGTGGTGATCAGTTAAAAGTGGATTAACAATAAAGTTTGACAATTAAAAACATGTGTTAAAGGCAATGAAACCCAATAGCGCCTTATATCGTTATATCACATGTTCGTTTTCGCACCTTCGCGATTTGAAATCGTTTCTTGTAGATTATTTTCAATGGGATTAATTTCGTGATCGCCGTCGTAACCTTGTTCTGAACGCAATCTATTATTGAAAAGAATTTATAAAGAAAAGTTTCTTCATTAATTAGGTAAGTTTTTTATTTATTTTCTGACAAAACTTTTTTTATATTTTTAAATGTGAAAATTATTGGAAATCTTATTTAAGGTCCCCATAAAGAGTTAAATTACAAAGTAATTAAATTTGTTAGGTTTTTTTTTACTTTTAATTTATTAAAAACTTTTTGGATAAAACTTCTAATAATTTAATGGATTTTTATTACTGATTTTAAACTTATAAATCTTGAGTTGCTTTTATTTTTAGAAATAAAGTTAAAACAAAACTTATTTTTTGTCATTTGGATTTGGACGTAAGTCAATCAACTTTGTTTATACAAAAAAAATTTAAAGGTTTGCGAATTTTATTCATTTTTTTAGTTTTATTAGAGAGTATAATCAGTTTTTTAAAATTTTCTTTTAATATTATTAGCTAATTAGCTAAATATATTATCGAATATCACAATTCTTTTTGTTTTTATTTTTAAGAAATTAAACCTTACTTTGTTTTTTGTTCATAATTCGGTCATTATGTAATTTATTGAAATTATTTATGTGAAATAATAATAATAAAAAAAAATAGTGATTTAAAAGTGTTATTTTTTTCTTTCTAAAATTTATTTAGCACTTTGTTTTAAATATACAAATAATTTTTAACGAACTTATTTTTTAAATTTTCTTTCTATACTGTTAGGTAAATATATTGATATATTTAAATTTTATTTATTTTTTTATTATTTATTTTTAAATTAAGAAATCTTTCGTTAAATGCGTGATCATTTTTAGAAAATATAACAGAACTTGCATTTACTTTTTCATTTAGAATTTGAACACTACAATCGAACTTAATAATTATGTAACTATCAAAGTTAATTTTATATGGCTCATTTAGTAAAATGATTTTTTATGGCTTTAAACATTTTTTAAAAAAAAATTTCATTCGCTTAAACTAATTGATTTCCAAATTATTCATAAATCTATCATTTTAAACTTTCTTTTATTTCTAGTTAAAAGCTCAGTAAAGTATCTAACTTAAATTAAGACTGCTAATACCTTATAAACAATAAAGAGGTGCAAATATTTCATTCTATCAATTCATTCTATCAAATATTTCATTGTAGTCAATTTATTTAATATCTTTCTTAAGCAAAACATATATATCTTCAAATTTATAAATTGATTTAAATCAACTTGTATGGAGTTTTTATAGAAATCTGACTTTCTGTGCCTTACAAGTAAATGAAATTCAAAAATACTATATTGCGATGCATCGCTATATCGCAATGCAAACTGACGATGCATCACAATACATAATTTCTAATATCGCCCAGTCCTAGCACTCACGTTTATTATTTTACGTTCTTTTTATTTCCCGATATTTCAAAATCTTAACTCAAATGAGGTGAATGGGATTAGAATCCCAGTGCTTGCTGGTCGATACGAATTCCTCACCCGGCTTGCACCGATCACAGTGCTGACGTAAAAATATCCTCAGTGGTAAATGGATTAGAGTTTGAGACACGGGTTAGAGTCCCTTTGCCATCTGGCTAACCGTGAGAGGTTTTCGCTCCACGTAACGCAAGTGCAGATTAGTTCCTTCAAAAGTCCTTCACGGAGGCAAATTTCACCCGATACTTATTCCAGGAGTTTCCTTGTCTTCTGGGTTTGGTTCAAAATGACATGGCTACACAGTCGAGCATCGGTAGTCGTAAACCCGAAAAATCGGGTCGGCTGTTCGACTACTGTTATGAAATAAAATTGTTGGTGTGCTTTTTAAATAAGCTAGCTGGATGACAAAGAAAAATTTCAAATATTTTGATAAAGATTATTTGTTTAAAATAATAAGCATCATGTGGTTTTTCTAAAAAACACTTGCAGTCAATTATTTTAAAAATTTGTACAAGTATTATTGTGAATAATTTTTATATTCTGTTTTTTTTTAGGGGAAAAAATATCCTCCCTTAAAACTGATAATTATGTCTGCCACAATGTGTGTTGAAGAATTTATGGAAAATCCCAGGCTGTTCAAGACGAAACCTTTTCTTTTTAAAGTATAAACTTTTTTTAGATTATGTTAACAGATCTCTCCCTTCCTGTTATACACACCTCACTACAACACTATTTTGGGTTGTAGAGTCCTGTGCACACATTTAGCTCAATGTTATTAATTATAAATATATGTTGTACAAAAAATTTGCAGAGTGCTATTTATGGTTAAAAATTAAAGACAATTGAAATACATTCAGAAAGTAAACATACCCGAAAAACGTTTTTATTGAAAATAATCTGATATTTTTGTTTGTTTATTCATCATTTTTTTTTTTTTTTTTTTACTGTCAAGTCAACCAACAAAGTGCTCATTGAATCCAAAGCCGGAAAATGATTTTCCTTTGTGAATGGTGTCCAACCTACCCTCTACAGAAAAAATTCTCTTTCAGGTGTTAATGTGATGCTTGTGGTCATTTGTGACTCATGATCAGCTTTTAACTTGAAGGAAATAAAATTAGATAGGATTGTTACATTTGTGACTTCTTAAGAGATAACGGAGGCGATTCTAAGAATGGAAGCTCTTTGAGTGGTCAGCAGTGAGTCTTTTCTTGTCAAAAAAAAAGTAGCAAAAGATGATAAAATAATAATTTTTACATTATTTGAATACCAATAATAAATAGAGAAAATAAGGTTGAAATTTGAGGTGGGAAAAAACGTTTTACAGTGGTTTATTGCTTCAGAGAATATTGTAATATTGAGAGGAAGATAACATTAATTCCTATGCAAGTTTGTCGGGATCACGAAACATTATCGTAATAGAGGGAGTTATTGTTGTATAAGATATCGTAGTAGAGAGACTTCTCTGTATATATATACACACGGTCGGACTTCTATTGAACGAATTTGTCTAATCCTGATGAAAAGTTTGTTGTATGGAAAAGTTCTTAAATTAACCATTTGAAATACTTGAGTAACACAAAACAGGTTTTAAATTCATAAACACTAGACATAATTAAAATAGCAATTGATACGCCTTTATCTTTTAAATTATTATCGACTATCAAATTGTTTTTAAATGTTTTTATCATAGGAAGGTTTGGCGATTTCTTCATCTTTTTCGTCATCCTCACAACTTATTGCTCTATTGTTTTTATTTTTCTCACTGTCCAAAATAACCGATTCAGTTATTGTTTCTGTGGCTGCAGCTTCAAAATCAATTAAAAGAAAATCATTGTTCAGTACGTTGCCGTTAATGTAGTGCTTCTCTCTTAGCTGTACCCATATTTTTTAAGTTCTTAGAAAGAAATATCCTCATCCTCCGTGCTGACTAAGAATCAAGCTTTAGCAAAACTGTTACGAAAAGTACAATATGTAACATCATAGTTCCATGCTTTGGAAATTTCTGTTATGCTTTCTCATTAATTGATTTTTCGCTTGGATTCCTGTATGAAATACAAACAAAAAGGTAAAAGGATTTTACTGCATTTTCTAAAAGTTAAGCGGCTGCGAAAATCAATTCATGGCCATTTCCCTCATAAAATGCTTTGATGAGTTTGAAATGTTCTGAAATATTTAGAGAAATAGGGAAAGTGGATCTCAAAGAACAGTTCATTTGATGGAAAACTCACTTTGCTATTTGGAAGTTATTTTATGAAGAAATTTCCAAAATATTCTTGGTTCTTTGAAAAAAAATCGCAAAATGGAAAAATTCACTAAATAGAAGTTCGTTTAATAGAAGTTCGACTAGTATGAACCGATTATTTAGTATTTGTCCTATTTATTTGAGCCTCACAAAATGGCAATCAAAAATTCAAACTTGCAATTTTAACTTCATGGTTAGAAACGTTTTAAAATTAATAAAAGAAATTGTTTACATGTAAATTTTTATTTCTCATTTAATGTATTTTTTAATTCTATTTGCTGGGACCTTTGAAACAAAGAAATTTTCCTAATCGGTCAGTAATAGGGACGTATATTTTCTCTGAGGGAGAATGTGTAAGGGATGATTCGGTAACAGTTTTCACCGAAGAAATATTTAAGCTTGCTTGAAACTGAGACTCTTTTTTAAGAAAGTCTCTATTTCGATTTTTTCTTTAGGCATAAAAAAAAATTATCTATTTATTTATTGTAATTTTAATTACACAAATATTGAGATAAAATTTTTATCTTAAGAGGGGCCTTCATTTATAAAACGTGAGGGAGTTATTGAGTGCAGTTACAGTGAAAGACCACAATCTGAAGAAGTTTCACTGATGAATGTTTGAAACATTTGATATTAATTTATTCATTTTTAGCATCTTCTTACAATAGATTTGAAAAATATTTGTTGGGAATATTAGGCAAAAGGATTTTGGGATTTGACACTTAACTTAAAAAAAACATCAGTGCAGAACATACGGGTCATAAATACATAAAGATTTTTAGTGTTAAAAAAAATTCGATTGGAAAAGTTATTTTCGCTGCACACTTTTAAAGATTTTGAAATTTGACAGCAGCAAAAATAAGTTTGAAAGTTGTTTAGTTATATAATACACTGGGTAAAATAGTTTATGATAATTTTGAATGCAAAATAGAATGTGTACTACAAAAGCAAGTGTAAGGGATTAATTGCAAGTTAACTATTTTGTTTTATGCTATTTATTAATTGTTAGCTTTTTTTTTTAGATATTAATTGTTAGTTTTTTTAACATTAATTGTTTTTTTCCTCGTTAAATTGTTTTTTTGCTAATTATTTATTGTTTGCTTGTTTTTTTTGTCAGCTATCCTTTGTTTTTATAACTATTATTTGCAAAGAAAATTTTTATTGTTTGCTTCCGTTTGTAAGTTAATATTTAGTTGCTTCCTTTTGTGTACCCCCCACCCCACCCAATAAGCCTATAATTATTTTCTCTGGTGAGGTACTCTAGTACCTCACGGTAATATAATACGTGGTCCACTTTGAATATTAAAGGTCATTGTCCTGGGTTCGATCCTCGGGCCGGGCAAGGTTGACTCAGCCTTTCATCCCTTGGGCGGGTCGATAAATAAGTACCAAGCATGCTTGGGAACTCAACAATGGGGGTTCTGCGTTCAGCTGACCATCGGACTGGAACATCTGCTCCTGCACCCCAGAGCCCAAAGTCAAGAAAACGGAGATGGGCACAGTAGGCCCTGGCCCTTTATGGGCTGTTGTGCCACTGAGTTTAGTTTTTAGTTTCTTTTGTTAATTAATAATTTTAATAGTCATTAAATTTTGTATTTTATTTTAAGAGTGTCAGAAACAGGACTATTGCCAACGAAGATGTTCATGCCATTAAAGCATGGAAAAATTATATATATATATTGTATAATATATGGTATACTTTTCTTCAATTTAAACTTTACTCGTAATAAAAACAAAACATTATAATTTTTACTATATCATTTCTACAGGGTTGCCACAGGCGACTAAAATACAAATATTTGCAACTATTTTCAGCATGAGTCGACTATGGCAACTTTTTTTGCCTGAAAAGGTTAAAAAAGCAACTATTTTCAGGAAAAGGAGACTTTTCTGTACTCCTAGCAATGTTTTTTTAGCATAAATTGGGTAGAAAACCTGCAGCCTGCATGAATTTTGAATTTGAGTAATCACTTTTCACTATATATATATATGTTTGCTAAATCAATTCAAATGATAAAAGGGAAAATTTCTTAGAATAAGTTTTTTTTTTTTAATGAAAAAGTATTTTTTGAATGAATTCTAGTAGAAGTATTTAATTTTCTGCAAATATACAAATTTTTTTTATATAAAATTTTAGTGCTTGAACACTAACGTTTATATAAAAATTATCATATTTGCCACCAACTTGACTAAATGGATCATGGTATATGACAATTAAGTTATTTAATGAAATTTTAGTCTTATTTTTGTTCTTATTTAGGCAACTATTTTCATGCTCAAGGCTACTAAAAGCAACTATTTTGTTCATTTTTTTCTGTGGCAACCCTGTTTCTAAAATTTGATGGCACATTTTAAGAATTTAGCGGCACATTGGTTCAGAATAATTAAAAATAATGGGTATTTTTCCAACACTGATGTTTTTCCCGATCTATCTTAATTGAATATTAAAATATCAAATAAATATGAAATCAGGTCTATGTGTGTAATTTGCGATCTTTCTGTTGTAAATGATTGTATTATTTATATTCCAGGTAAGTTCCAGGCAATATACTGTTCAGGCACATTTCAACAAACATACTCCAAATGATTATGTTGAAGCTGCATTCAATAAGGTAAACTGTTTTATATTTAAATATAATCTATAAATTGTGTCATTAAGTTGAGTAATTGTTTATACATTGAAAGTTTGAGTTAATTTAAAAATGTTAACTAAGAGATTCCGTGACTGTGGAAGCAAATCATCTGTGTGCTCTCTCCCGCCCTATATATACATATACATATTATTTTTCTGTTTTCTGCTTGATATGCTTTATTTCGTATTTTTTACTTAATGTGTTCTATTTTCGTTTCAATTTTTTTTAGTGCTCCTTGCACTATTGTTTTTATATATTTTGCTTTGGCTATATTGATGCAATGTTAGAAAGCACTCCTTTTTGCAGATATAATCGTGTGGGCTGATGATGCTATATTTACTTTATTTTGTTTTCTGGATTTTTGATAATTTTTTTCTCTTAGATAAATAGAAAAAATAATTTTCTTTAGATACATAAAAATTTCTTTCAATATTTTTAAAAATTATTTTAATTTAATAATTTTTCTTCTTCTCTTCTTATTATTTTCCCGATTGAAGAATATGAATTTGTGGCTGTTGACTATTTTGTTTACTTGGGTTCTGTAATCAACAACAGGAAATACAAAGAAGAATTACTATAGCCAATAAATGTTTGAATGGAATTCATAGAATATAAATAGATATATAAATCTCTTTTAAGATCGCTTTTAACATATGCTTGGGAAACCTGGACCATGTCTTGTGCGGCTATGTTGGGTACCTTTGAGAGAAATACCTTTGGAAGAATTCAAAAAAATGGTGTGTAACTTAGAAGATCAAATCTGGAGTTGTATCACTCTTCTAATAAACCTGACATTCTAGGCTTTATTAAACCGCAAAGAATAAAATGGGCAGGCCAAGTTATCAGAATGGACGAAGACTGTACCACAAAAAGAGCTTTCAATGCCAGACCAGTCGGCACACGAAAAAGGGGCAGGCCGAATTGGAGATGGATAGATGGCCTAGAAAAAGACCTTTTGGTCTTAAAAATTAAAAACTGGAAAAATTTAGCAGGAAAAAAGTTAGCCTGGAAAAAAATTTTTCTTGAGATGGCCAAGGCCCACCCTGGGCTGTTGAGCCATTGATGATGATGGATATACATATGTATATTTGTATTAATCCGATCAGAATCATTTGAACCTTACAAAATGGCAATCAAGAATTCGAATTTTGTCATTTTAACTTCAGAATTCGAATTGTTTTAAACTTAAAATAAAATAAAAAGAAATTAATTGTTTACCTGTAAATTATTTCTCTCTCATTTAACGATATTATTTTTTCTCTTTTGTTTCACTGTTTGTTTTTTTTAATTATTTAATATTCTGTTAGTTGTGACATCTAAAACCAAGAATCTTCCCATTGGTCAGTAATATATATATATATATATAGTGACATATATATACTCTATTGTGACATTTATTTATTTATTTTTTAAAATTTAGTCACAATAAAAGTAATCTTTTTTTTTTTTTTTTTTTTTTATTTAGATTAATTTTATTGACAAGATTTATAAGAACAAATTAAATATTTAAAATCNGAATGGGTTGTGTCTCATAGTCTATAAAATGTAAGGATTCTAAAGCCCCCCCCCCCTCCACCTGCAAAGATGAATCAACATGGATGATTTTTTTAATATGATTCAATTTTCAAATGCAATAATGTTTATTAAAACAGTAAATGATCTCCACTGATTCAACTTTCAATAATAACATTTCATTAGAAATAAAACACAAGAGTAAAGTTAAGTCTATATTAAAAAGTTAAGTCCATACACTTTATTGGAATGGATCTTTTTATCTAAAAAATAAAAATTAAAAGTAGACACATAATTGCACAAGTAATTAATTTAATTATTAATAATAATTAGGTATTTAGTAGTTAGGTAAGACTCATATTGCTGTATTTCTCTTGTGTTTAAACCCGATAATCTTGCTTTTTGATTTATTTGGAACAATTATATTACTTGAACAGGATGGCCACTCCACAGGGAAAATACTGGGAATACAAAGTTCACCTAAAATGACAGGGAAAATGCGGGGAATTTTGATTTTTTCTTTACGAACTGAGAATTTTGTTTCTTATTTTCGTCTTTTAAAAAATGTTGACCACTAAAAGTGCAATCTATGGAATATTTAAGGATGATATTTCCAGCTGCACTAAACTATTTAATTTACTATAGCATTATTTCTTTTAAGTATGTTCAGCTTTTTTCTCTTAAATTATAACTAGTATAGTTAGCTTAATATAGTTCACGCCAGAGCAGAGTGATTGTATTTTTTCTCTAAATTATATTGTGTAAATGTACAGGGAAAACATGGAGAATCCTCCTGATTTGTGTGATCTTTTTTTACAATGTAGGTGTGTAAAATTCATCAGCAATTGCCACCTGGTGCCATATTAGTGTTTCTGACGGGTGAGAAGGAAATAAATAAACTGTGCCAAACTCTGAGAGATGCATTTCCTATGAAAGAATTTGATGAGGAAGCTGATTGTTTGTTTAAGAAGAAACGAAAAAGAAGAACGAAAAATAACATGTCTACTCTCCCAGACATAAATTTAGATGAGTATGTTTCCCCTTTTTTTTTATTTGTAACCAGTACAACTCTACTGAATTTTGTACATTTTGAAACAGAATTTTTGTGCAGATTATTGCTTGAATATTTGAATAAGTATTACATAAAGAACCTCATTTATAGAAATCAGTTCCAAACTTTTGTTTTGTTCAGTTTATTCAGAGCTCTCTTTTTAAATTAAATCTTTTAACTATCTTTGATGAATACTATTACTATTCAAAATTATAAGTAATCAAGATGCATAACATTTCAAGACCATTTAATGTTAAATCATAACTGGAAAATATGGCATTTTTTTCTATTTTGATGACTATAAAAATCCCTTAATTTCCCTAAGTGTATTATATTTAGTATATTTTGTAATAATTATCATGAAATATATAATATTTCGATCTCATGTATGGTTTGGCAATTTTTCAAAGCATTGGAAATTGTGATTTACTGAGATGTGTACAATATTTCCCGATGTATCGTTAACATCAACATCTACATGCGCGATACTACATCGATGTCTGCAAGTTTGCGCAGAGAGCATTTCCCTCCGTAAGCGTGCCGTGATAGCTGTGGCGATGATCGTTATCTTCCCCCGTCTTTTTCTTTCTTCTATCGTGACTCATCGTTTTGTTGACATAATGAATCCGAATGTGATTGCGAATCAAAGTGTTGTTAAAGTTACAGAAGATTTTTCTTTTAATTGTGCAAATCCTGTTGATTTCTTTTTTTTTTAAACAATCAATCCAACCATTCAATGTTTTTTAACCGCTATTTTAGAGACAACTATGTCTTTTAATATTGAGAAATAAGTATTAAAAATTGCAACATTTATTTTTTAAAAAATGCACTTACTAATTACAAATTTACGCAGTACTAAATATTAAACATTAATGTACTGAAACAACCCAATGCCAAAATTTTTACATTGTCCAGTGCTAGTAACCTGATCCTACAATTTCTCTGGATTCAAAGACCTACAGAAAATTTTATATTTTACCCGGATGGTACCTGCTGGGCTGTCTTAAGTGCAAGCAGGGGCACAAAAATATTTTGGGCCCCTACACTGTTTAAAATCGATTTCACGTACATAAGATAAAGCATTTTTTAAAATATACAACAATTTTTAACACATATAAACACATTTTTATTACCCAAAAAAACTGAATGCACATAAAAAAATCATTTTTAAATAATGCATAATTTAAAAAAAAAATTTAGTTGCTAACCAGTTACAATCTTCAAATAATAAAATAATTTTTGAAACCAAGAAGCTAATTAAAATAATTATTGAAAAATATGAATACTTTCGTCAAACTATAAAAATCAGTTATTAAAACATCTTTCAATGCGCATCAGACATAACCAGCTTAAAAGTTGCTGACCTATGTGTAATTCTAAACTCTTTCAATTATTACTTTATTTAAGTCATTATATGTACTTGACGGAGTGGGTGGTGGTCAAGGATATGTAGAAAAATTATTGGAGTACCTAAAACCTTCATTTTAATGTTGAAAAATAGATTTCAGTTACCCTTTTAAAATTTCCTGGTGATGAACTATACAAATTATTGGTGTTAGCATGATAATCAATCACTATTTATAGGGGGGGGGGGATTATGCACTGGAATATACTTATTTTAAAAATTGTAGAACATAATGTTTTTGAACTTAGTTTTTTTTCTTAGTGCAATTTATAAAAAATAATATTTCCAAGGCCAGCCTCTGGGACTGTCCGGGTTTGCCCATGCATAAAGATAGTATTTGGTATAGTAATAAATTTATTACTCAGTTGGGTATTATAACATTAATACCAAACAATATAAGATGAATATAAATTTTTAAAACCAGGTTATGAAGTTTGTTAGCCAAGTGCGGGTAAATAAAATCCAGCTATGTAACTGGTGCATCCCTAATTGTAACCCCCTTTTTTTAACCTGATATATTTTTAGGTTCAAAAATATTTATGCATGCATATAGTTTTGCTTTTGTAGAAAAAAAGTTCGTTTTTTTTTTCTTTTCTATTTTTTAGAACAAAAAACTATTATGATTGCTACTCCACAGGGAGAAGAGGGAAAACCTGGAAAATACGGGGAATTTAAAATAACAGAAGACCACGGATGTCCATGAGAACCTGACGGCAAGGGGACTCTGACCCTTGATCCGTCTACCACTGATGATATTTCACGTCAGCACTGTGGTCGATGCAAGCTGGATGCAGAATTTATATAGACTGGGATTCGAACCTGGTTCTCCACATTGGAAGGCAAACGCTCTATCCTCTGAGCCATCGCGGCTCACAGCACAATATATGGGATCTTTAAAGATGATATTTCAGCTATATTAAATCATTTAATTTCATGCCAATGCCTTACTCTGAAAATTTCCAATTCTTTTTATTAATTGTAAGAAAATCGGACTCCTCCGAGTCAGCTTATTTCAACCACGGCGGCCTTTCCCGCTGTCTTCTCCCAGTATGTTTAAAATGCAGCATCTTTTTGTCATCACTCATTCGAATCATGTGGGTCATCCAATTCATTCTATTTATTTTTATACATTTAATAATGTTGGGCTGATTCTAAATCCTGTACAGTTCAAAGTTAAATCTCCAGTAATAGTTTTCATTTACACCATAAAGTATACTCCGCAAAATCTTTCTCTCAAATATTGTGATATGATTTTCCTTTTGTTTTGTCATGGTCCAAGTTTCAGAAGCGTATGTCAAGACTGGCCTGTCAAGAGTTTTGTCGATTTAGAACTTTGTTTTTCTAGAAAGAGACCTAGATTAATAAACCTTCTCAGCCCATAGTCAGCCCTATTTGCCGGAATTATTTTATTTATTATTAGCAATATTTCTTTTATGTTGAGCTGTCCCTTATTTCTCTAAAGTTTTTTCCCGCAACTAAAACTAGTATCGTTATCCTAATAAATAGCACACAAGAACACAGTGATTGTTATGTTTCCTCTTAGTCCTTTAATAATATATCCTTCAATATGAATTATAAATAACTCTGTAAGCTTCCATATTCATTTAATTTTGCACATAAACTAACATTTATTTGCAGTTTATATTCCTTTTTAAAGTGAATATTATTTGAAACCTTCGTATTAATTTAATGTTAATTACCATAGTTTTAAAGTAAACATTTTAGATATATTTAAAATAATTGTTTATATTTTGGCATTTATTTGAATTTTGTATAGTTTTACCATTGAACCTTTGGACACTGAAGATTTGCAACATCAGTTGTCCGAAGATGAAGATTTTCCAAATGTTAATTTTGTGATGCCGAAGCTGGACGATGGTTCGCTTCCACTTTATGTATTACCTTTATATTCTGCTCTGCCTCTTGAGGAACAAGAAAAAGTGAGTTCTGTTTTAATTTCCATTCTTTTCTTCATAATTAAAGTTTTTTTTTTTTTTTTTAAATTTTTTTTATATACAGTGTTAATTAGTTCTTATGCACTGTAAAACAATAAATTAATTTTAAGATAGTCAAATCTCGTTTTATCAAAATCGGAAATAGGAAAAATTTCAGTGTAGCGAATATTTTCCGAATCCACAAATGAACCTCCGTAGAAACAGTGGATTAAAAATACCGATGTTACGAAATTGGTTTAACAAAGGTGACAATTCTCATTTTCTCTCATGATCAAAACGCTTCTTCAAAATGTCTCAGAATTCAAATATTTTTACTTCTTTAGAATAAAAAGTTTTGAATACAAAGGGGGCATGTCAAAAAAGACGAATCACTAGTTTACGGACGACCCCGAAACGACTAAACCCATTCATGTTTGAGGAAGTAAAAATACTTTTAAAAAAGAGTGATTTCCTGTTCAGTTGTTTGAAAATGTGAATCATTTTTTTGGGGAAGTTTGTAATTTCTACTGGCTCGATATCATTTGTACAGAAAAAAAGTTACAGGTTACGTAATTTCTAATGATAGGTAAGTGATAATAAATCTATTTTCTTCTTAATTAAATTGTTTTTGCAAGCTTTTTAAATATTTATTTAATATTTTTAGAGTACAAATAGATCAAAACTGTAATTAAATGCAATATTAATTATTTTTTTATGAGAAAAATTCCAATGTCACTAAACAATTTTGGTTAATGTTGAAATTCGTAATATCGGTATAACAAATTTTCCTTATTGTGTAGCGATTGTCTCAGTCCCTAGGAATTCTCTAGAGTGGCGATTCAACTGTGACTAGTTTTTCATGATGTGTATTTGCAGGTTTTCAAACCCCCTCCTCCTGGATGTCGCTTGTGCGTCGTCTCAACTAACATAGCGGAAACATCTATTACGATTCCGGGCCTCAAATATGTTGTGGACTCTGGAAAAGTATGTACTCAATTTTTATACAAAATTATTCATAAATTATATTTTTCTGGATTGTACCCAGATAACAAAATAAAGTTTCTTTTCACAGCAAAAACCTTTTAATGTAAACCTAAAAAGGTTTTTTTTTGTAATAAAACTTTTGTATTAAAACTTTAAATCATTTAATTTTANTATTCATAAATTATATTTTTCTGGATTGTACCCAGATAACAAAATAAAGTTTTTTTTCACAGCAAAAACCTTTTAATGTAAACCTAAAAAGGTTTTTTTTTTTTTGTAATAAAACTTTTGTATTAAAACTTTCAATCATTTAATTTTAAAATTTCTTTAAGAAAATGGTGATATCCTTTTCAATAAAATTTAATGGGCAGATTTCCTTCTCAATACCTGCACCAAGAAAATCTTGATATCACCACGCAAGAATTAAAAACATTCAATTTATAAACACTCTCAACTAAAAATTTTATTCCTTTTTTTAAAAAAGAAATTTTTGTGCCAAACCTTTAAGCCTTCTTTATTTGAAGTGATCATTCCAGTATTTACTGATACAAAAATATCTCAAATTCATTACTTTTTAACAATTTTTTTTAATTTTTTTTTTTAGATAAAGTACAATGAGAATTAACTATCAAAATATTTTTGCACATTGCATAAGCTCATAGAGTCAATAGGAAAGGTTTAATAAAAATAATAACTCCTTTTCAACACTGCTCTTAATTCAACGTAAACACACTTTGAATAGAGCCTATTGTTGTTTATTTTTTAATCATTTGCTATCACTTAATAATTAAGATAAATGATGATGTATCAAAAACATGCAATTCAGTCTAAATTCAAGAAATGAAAGTAAAGATGTTTAACTCATTATTTTACAAGATTTTAAAAAGGAAATTTTAATAAAGTTACAGTGTTAGTCTTATGAATAAAATTTCAAACATTCTAAAATTTAATGGTTTTATCTGAAAAGTAGCCGATTAATTAATAATTATTTTAGCATGGCAATCTTGTTAATTGAAAATTATTTTTTTATCTTCATCATTGTTGCAGAGGTCAGATGCGAGAAACCAAGTAAACATTTTTATTCTAAACTAACTCCAATACTTATTATTTATAGTTAGACCATGTGTTGTGAAGAATGAGCCCAATATTTACTGACTTTATTAGTTATATGGTCATTAAATTAATTCTTGAATGTTTTGATTAAGCGGTCAAGATTATTAAGTAGGCTGATTGTTTCTACATTGTCAACCTCTCAAACATATGCATCATTCATCTCAAACATTGATATGCTTTATTTTTCTAGCTGATTTTTAACTAGAGGAAAATCGTTTGCAATTATAGTTTAATTCTATTAATATTTTCTTGCATTCTCTGCCATAAAATTGCATTGATTTATAATGATATTTTAAGAATTATTTAATTTATTGTTTTCTTTCATAAATAAATGTTTATTTATTAATAATATGGGATACCCTTTCATAAACCAAAAGTAATGAAATAAATGATAATTTTAAAAGTTCGAATGTTAGATAAAACACTATTTACTCTCTTATACAATATTATCTCTAATATTAGACGATAGGATTCAGGAGTCTAGTGTTTTCTAGCGCAGCAGTATTATATTAAACAGTTTTATTGCTTTTAAAAAGTACTATTTGCCATTAAAATGTAATTGATAAATTTTAAAAAATTTTACCTCTTTTTCATGCAAATCATAGATTTTCGTTTTCAAAAAATTTATGAATGTTTATTTTCTTACATTATATGATAGTAAAATAATTATTTAGGTAAAAACTAGAGTTTATAGTAGCAACAGTGGAGGTATATCGCAGTTTGTGGTGACTTGGTCATCTAAAGCATCAGCCAATCAGAGAACTGGGCGTGCTGGCAGAACAGAAGGTGGACATTGTTACAGGTCAGAAAAGTTTTTCTATTGTATTCTAACAAAATACACTATCTGGCCTAACGTTTTTGGTCACCCAGTGGTTATGGACATCCTGAGGCACTTATACATACACCTCTGTACCACAATATTTTGGGGAATATTGAGAGCCTACATACTTTGGGGACACAGTAGAATTTTTTTAAATTTTGCATATTAATTTTTATTATATCTGTAAATATATTTATATATAATATAAAAAATTAATTTGCAGAGTGTTAATTATGGTTAAATATTAAAAACAAATGAAATAAAATCAGAAAATAAGATCATAATTAATATTGAAAATGTATGCTTTGTCTTGTGTATCATGAATTGGAATGCTTCAATAAAATTTGTGTTGTGTATTTTATGTGTTCAAAAAACTATTTTTAATTACTTATAAGTATTTCAAGTTGTAAGAAATCAAGGTAAATGGCAGTATTTAAAAGTCACTTATTAAAGTGACTATATAGTAAATGAATCAAAATAAAAAATATTGAAACCCAAGAGATTTAGAGCAAAATATATATGCCTTGATAAATAGTGGATTTTTAAAGTCATTTTTTAGTTTTGAAAGTAAAACTTTTGTTTTTGAATAATAATAATAAAAAAATATGAAAAAAACATATCGAGACACTTTTTTTAAGTAATAATTTATACGTTGTTAGACAGGGTTGTCATTGCACAAAACAGGGAAAACCTGGAAATTAAAGGGAATTTAATAACAAACTAAAATAACAGGGATAATGCAGGGAATTTTGAATTTAAACTGGGAAAATATGGGGAATTTTGTGTCTTATTTTTGTCATTTAAAAGTAGTGACCTCTTAAAGCACATTCTATGGGATATTTAAGGATGTTATTTCTGCTATACTAAACTATTTCAAGTAGCATTATTTGTTTTAAGTATATTCAGCTGCGTTATGGCAACCCTGTTAGAAATATAAAAACTATTTTGTTTATTTCTTAGATTGTATTCATCAGCTGTTTTTGAAAATGAATTTCCTGATTTCTCTATACCTGAGATTCTGAGAACGCCCTCTGATGATATTTTACTGCAGATGAAAGTAAGTTTCTCTTAAATTCAAAAGTTATTTTATTTCTTGAGTTTTTGTACATTTAAAATTTCTTTTTATTTTTAGGCTTTAGGTATTCCAAAAGTTGTTCATTTTCCCTTCCCTTCAACCCCTGACATTGAAGCATTAAAGGTATGTGCCATTCCAGTTACTTATTTTTTATGACCATCATTGAGCAATCAACCCATACAATTACCAAATCTATTGCCTTGTTATTCTGAACCCAATCCATAAGACAAGGGAACTCCTGGATCAAGTATTGAGAGAAATGTCTTTGTGGAGGATATTTTGATCGAACTAACCCGCATTTGCATTACATGGCGAGGAAAACAACCCACAGTTAGCTTGCATGATCCGTTTACCACTGAGGATATTTTATGTCAGCACTGTGGTCGGTGCGAGCTCATATCGACCAGCCATCGCTGGGATTCGAAACTGCTTCACCTCATTGGAAGCCGCACACTCTATCGCAGCTCGGATAGTCTGGGTTCTGGACTCACATTTGTGAGAGCAGGACTTCCAATCCAGCCGGCCGAAGACTCCCTGTGTAGTAAATGTTGACTGATGCACATTAACTCTGTCGCCTCACAAAGTCCTCCATGTTCCCATAATAAATCAATGCCTCTGGAGGTACTGAATTTGAGAGGGAACGTCCTCTGGTTCAGGACAAAATTACGATCCACAATGAGCTACTGGGAATGCAGGGTGGCCAGCCACCTTGAAAACCTGGAATTGTCAGGGAATTTTTTTATAGTGGAAAAATCAAGGAAATTTGGATTAAAACCTAGAAAAATCCGGGAATTTTAAGGAAGAGCTGGAAATGTTTTCTTCAATAATTGTTTTGATTTCACTAATTTAAATTATTTACTAATTTTCTTAATTTAAATTATTTCATCCATTATACCCACTTTTTTTAGACGGAAATGAAATGCCAAACAGTTGAAATATCATCAACTTAGCATCAGAATTTGCTCCATTACAGCTAGAATGCCACATAAATTTCTCCCATGGCTGCTAAACAAATGTAGAAACCTTTGGGGCTATGGGACTGTGCAATTTGGAAAAGATTGTGGTTAAGGTGAAAGAAGGGATTAGGATATTAGTCTCTGTTTTTAAATTCTATCCTTGGCCCATTTATGGCTCAAGTTTGTTCCGATGCTTTGGTGCTAATTTATTTTGACCAATTTTTTTGTATTTTTGACTTATGAAATTCTCAAAAAATTAGTTGGTTATAATTTAATAATAATAGATTTTATATTGCAATCTTTTTCTGAAAGCTTTTGTACTCCCATTTAAAGAAATCTGTGAATTATTTTTTCTTAGCAAACAAACCAATCACACATTTTCTTTACAATCGCTAACAGCAATGTTTGTTGACAAATTATTACAATTGTTGCATTAATGCTAATTTTTTCCATTTCATTTTAACCTTTTATAACATATTTTAATTTAAAAAGAAAGGTTTTTTAAAGAACTAACTATATATTAATATTTAATTTTACTGTTTTGTTGGTAAAAGTATGATTTTTGTTTCAAAATTTGAATTGTATAATTATCACTATATCGAAAGTTCGTAAATGTTGCTTGCTTTCCAGAGATGATATTTCCAAAACTATTCCTCCTTTTGCCCTAAAAAGCTGACAAAGACGAAAGAGTGTATAGGAAGCATATTAAATGATAAAATAAATTTTAAACATAAAATATCTATTTTTTTATTCATGCGTGTTTAGTGCGAAGAAGGAAAACAAAACTTAGTGTTTTGTTCTGCACTGTACCGAACTCTAGCTGTTAAAACAATTAACTATACTAAAATAAGAAACTATGTCTTTAGATTGGAATTCTTTAAATATTTCAAATAAGAAAAAAAAGTATAAAATTTAANTAATTAAGTATCAATATGAGCATAGCAAATATTGCGGGATGCCGTAAATGTGTGTTGCGCGAGTGCTACTGATGGCCAGGTAGGCAAAGTTGGAGGGTATGGAGTATACATCAAAAAATTAGACAGTTTTACATTTATGACATTTATTTTTGTATATTGAATCTCTTAAAATAATAATGCTAATTCGAAAAAACATTATTTAAAAATTTGACTTGAGATATTGGTTTAAAGAAAATATGATCAATGAATTTTATAAAAAGCACTGTTAAGATAAAATACAAAATACAGTACAGCTTTATATTGGAATGTAAATACAGTGACTCATAAAAGTGTTGGTACACTTATGACTTTCAATGGAATGGGAAATAAAAATTAATTAATTAAAATGAATATTTCAGAATGGCAATATAATAATAAAAAATGTGTTGCATGGAATATTTTAAAAACAAAGCTAAAATTTATTTTTTAGAAATCAATCATCAAAAGTAACAAAAACTTTATCGCACAAGAGTCATCGTACATTTTCAAAAGAATCTCTGCCTATTGGTAAATATTCTAATTTTTCTAATTAGTAATATTTAGTAGAGTTTCCTTTCACATCTACAATAGCTTTTATAAGTTTGTAAATAAATGTAACTAATTTTTTTTTTTGGTCGGGTGAAATTCGAGCAGAGTATTTTTTATTAAATGTTACATAAACTTTTTTTTTTCTTCCATTGAACTTACCCATTGAAGTTGAAGCTCAGACAGGCATAAAGCGTCTAATGTACCTTGGCCTATTGAAAGAGTATTCCAAGCACTTGTCATGGGGACATCTTGTTTCACAAGTGATGGATTTATCCTCTTTTATTATGCCCAGTGACTATATGTCACTAAGATCAATTTCACAAGCCCTTCAAGATCCATTTTCCGACTAGAGATGAATGGTTTAATCCTCGATGGCTTAAAGGCAAATGTCTAATATGGTACACTGATGGTTCAAAGATTGGTGCCAAATCTGGAGCAGGAATTTATTGCTCCAATGATGGTAAAAAAATTCACTTTCCCCCTGGGAAACTATGCCATGGTTTTTCAGGCTGAGGTCTATGCCATTATCTTGTGCTGCAAGTTATGCTTAGACAAGGGATATCAAAATACGACTATCCGCATCTGTTCTGACAGTCAGGCTGCTCTCCTATCACTGACAAGGTGTAAATTCACCTCTTTGTTAGTGTGGGAATGCTTCTCGGTCCTCTACGACCTGTCCGCTCATAACAAGGTATCCCTGCCTTGGGTACCTGGACATATGGGTATTGGTGGAAATGAGCTAGCTGATGAAGCAGCACAGGCTGGCTCTAATGCAATTTTCTGGGGCCCTGAACCTGCGCTGGGAATTTCTTCCACCTCATTTAGGGCATCCATTTTCAAGCTCTACGGCAAGATTGCCATGAGCAATGGCGCGCTGCTGACGGTCAGAGAGAAGCTGAATCGCGACTGTCCTAGTGTATGTCAAAAGGAGCTCTTAAAGCTTAATAGAAACAGTTAAAGGAAGATCATAGGTCTTCTTACTGGTCACTGCATCCTCAGGAGACACCTACACATAATGGGAATATAATCCAATTCTCTTTGTCGGGGTTGTCAATCACGACACATACTCTGTGATTGTGATGTCTATTCTGCTCAAAGATTTGAGCATTTAGGGCAGCATTGCGTCAATACCTGGGAACTGCAAGATGTTCCTGTAAGGTGCTTGCTGAACTTCATTTCAGCTATAGGGCTTTTTTGCTAATCACGACTTAGGGTTTGGGTACAATAGACCTCTGGTAGATGTGCCCTGCTCGTGTCAGAGCTGCCAAACCTCTAAATCTACAGAAACTTTTACAACACTCATTTGTGAATTTATGCATTTTTCCACAAATTTTATAATTTTAATCTCTGATATGAAGTCCTTCTTTTAAGCATTTTATCACATATTGCACAGTGCAATAGGACATATTAAACTAATTTAACAATATTCATTACTGATTTACCTCTTATGATGACAAGTAATCAACTTTCAAATTTGGCTTATTGTTTTGTTATGGCCATGAGCCATTTTTTAATAATAAAAGAAAATATTACGGTGAAGCAAAAATTAAAATACAATTTTGCTATCACAAGCTTGATACTAAAGTGCAAATAAATGTATAAAAAATTAAATGAAAAATAATTAAAGGAACAAATTAAAGCAATAGACGATAATTTTAATTCTGAAATCGGAAAACATTTAAGTGTATGATGACTTTCTTGGGGTAAAATTTTTGTTACTATTTGATTATTGATATCTTTAAAAGAAACTTTTGCTTTGTTTTTAAATATTCCATGCAGTTTTGCTAAGATTAGATTATACATCTTATTCAGGGTTGCCACTCCACAGGGAGAACCTGGAAAATACAGGGAATTTAAAAATCACCTAAAATAACAGGGAAAATGCAGAGAATTTTGATTTTTTCTTCACAAACTGGAAAAATAATGGGATTTTTGTTCCTTATTTTTATCTTTTAAAAAATGATGACCACTCAAAGTGTTATCTATGAGATATTTAACCATGATATTTCAGCTATACTAAACTATTTCATTTACTGTAGCATTATTTAAGTACAGTGGAGCATCGTTTATATGACGCTGAAGGGGCCACCGAAAAACGTCGTATAAACGATTACCGTTTGTGGCTCGTCGTATAATCGATTTCAACTTCCGAAACTAGAAACTAACTCTGTTTTCAGTTAATTTTAATGTTTAATGTGTTGATTTACATAAATTTCTAAATTGGACAAAGCGAAACAAATAGATAACCATAGAAAAAAAAAAGAAGAAAAATTACAGTAAGCAATTTGAATTTACGTTACCTTTATTTATTTGATACTCCATATTTGTTTTTTTCTTTTACTTTATTTATTTCACGTTAGGTTTACTGAAAAAATCATCTACGGTTGTTTGATGTGATGATTGGCGTTGAGCTTTAATTAAAGACCTGTGCAATGAATCAAGGTCCTGAAATGTTTTTTCGCTGGTATTGTGGTAAAGAAAATAAGTTCTTAGTGTTTCAATGGAATTCATTGCATATTGAAAAGTAGGCGGAACAACTTGGTGACATTCCTCGTCATCCTCGCTGTCACTATGTGGCTCGGACTGTGTGTTCTGTATAAGCTCATCAACAGTGAAAATCGCTGACGTTACTACATCTTCATCGCAATCCATGTATTCATCAAAAGTTGTCTCTGTTGCGAGCAAGTTCCAATCATCATCATAGATTATTGTATCATCATCGCTTACGTCCTCTCCCCCATTATCATCGGTTGTTCGATGTACTAATCCGGCTTTTTCAAAACAGTTCTTTATTGTTGTTGTTACCTGAGACCATGCCAACGAAATCATATTCATTGCCTGGAGAACAGTTATTTTCTTGGGATTAGGCTCTGCAATGCTTTGTATAGCGAGTTGAACTAACTGCTTTCTATACTGCAATTTTAGATTCCTTATCACGCCCAAATCTAATGGCTGAAGCACACTTGTGCAGTTTGCAGGAAAAAAGTGAACTTTTACATTTTCCAAAAAAATTTTATCGGATGGGTGAGATGGACATTGGTTGATGAATAGCAAAATTTTTCGTTTTTGCTTCTTCATAGCATTGTCTGGCTTTTTCAGCCATTTAGTAAAAATTGCGGTCATCATCCAAGCATTCTTATTTGCATAATAATCCAGTGGAAGCGTTCTGATATTCTTTAGACATCTGGGATTTTTTGATTTTCCTATCACCAAAGGAGTACTCTTTTCACTTCTATCAGAGTTTGCACAAAGCAGCACAGTAAGGCGATCTTTGCTCTTTTTTCCTTCCTTTCATTTTTCGCCTTTATAAGCTAATGTCTGATTCGGCATTAGATGATAAAAACGACCCGTCTCGTCGGCATTAAAAATATCTTTAGGTAGGTACTCACTTATTATGCTTGGCAAATTTTCGTGCCATTCTGCGACAGAATCAGCAGGAACCTTTCTTGATTCACCACTTACAACTTGACACGTGATCCCGTTCCGAGCTTTGAATTTCTGCAACCATCCTGCTGTAAAGCCGCTATCTGTGAGATTCAATTTCATGGCGATTTCTTTAGCTTTTTCCATCAACATTGGACCACTTACTGGAATATTTGATGCACGACACTAATTGAAAAATTGGAGCAAAACCTTCTCCATTTCAGGAAATTTACCCTCCTGCACTCGTATTTTCTTTGATGAAGAAAATCCGCAGGCTTTAGCATGTTCCTCAATTTTCAGACGATCATAAATAATAGTTTTTAAGGTAGAAACTGGAATGCCCATCATTTTAGCCAAGTCAGCTTTTGATCTTCCCGGTAAACCTTTATTGAATTCCTTCCAAATTTCAATTTTTTCTTTCACCGAGATAGACTTACGTTTTCGAGACATGTCTGAAAAAAGATGTGGACGAAGCAGTACGTACAGCGAAGAGTGAAAAAAAAAAAAAAAGAACGATCTGTAGCACTGGTGCACTGATAAGGAAAGAATGTCCTTTACTAGCTGTAACAATAAAACAGGTTGGGAAATCTGATCACCTTCTTAGAAAAGGAATGTCCACTCCCTGTGCAATCCGTTATACCTTTGTTCTTCCACCCCACCACCCCGCATTGCTATCACATGCTGCATTTACACATGCCCTTTTCTGTGTCATTCATGTCAGCAAATTCTGCCCGTTCTTAAAATACACAAAAAAAAATAAAAATTTAATGAACGTGGGAAAAAAATCTAGAAGCCGACGTATAACCGATTCTGTGCCTCGTATAAACGATATATTTTTACATTCAAATGAATAGGAATGATTTGGGACCACACTAAAACGTCGTATAAACGATGCTCCATTGTATGGTCAGCTGTTTTTCCAGCAATTAAAACTAATAAATATAGTTTGCCCTATATAGCTCACACAAGAGCACAGTAATTGTTGTTTCCTCTTAATATATTGTGCATAATATGTACAGGGAAAACACAGGGAATTTTTTTTCCAGATTTGAGTGGCAACCCTGCTATCAAATACCCATTCTGAAATATTTATTTTAATTAATGAATTTTTATTTCTTATTTCAATAAAAGTTATAAATGGACAAACACTTTTGGGAGCCACTGTAATTATAAAAATTTATTAATATATAATCACCTCAAACAGTTTTTCTTTTTGCTTAATTAATTATTATACATATATTAAACAAGACTTATCCAAGGTCTTATTGATCATTCTGTTTTTTGTTATTTGCTGGGTACACTTTGAAGAAAAACTACTTAAAGTAACACATTAAAAAATTTATTCAATAAAAACAATATATTCTACAAGCTAAACATATTTTCTCCACGTGTCTTAATTTCTTAAAAATTAATGTTGTACCAAAACATTAAGAAATAAATAAAAAATCTTGCCAAATTTTCAAAATAAATAATTTTTTTCAAGATGATAAGTTAAAAAAATAACATTTTGAATAAAATAGTTTATAATATAGGCACTTTTCTTGTACACATCCTACACTTTTTAAGAAAAACAAAACACAGACCTGGAAATTTTAAGATTTTTATCTGGAAAACCTGGAAAAATCAGGGAAATTTGAAATCTGTTTACTAATTTCAGAAAAATTCATTAGTTTTCAATTTAATTTGTAACAATATGACTTAAGTTACTACTTTTCTTATTACTTTGTTTTATTAGTTACATTATTAAAGTGACGGTTTTTACTAATAGTTTAAAAAATGTGTTCACGAAAAATTAATTTATAGATTTGTATAAAAATTTCTTTCGTGATTCGTAAAATCATTTCACATATGAAATGCTTATTAAAGTATAGTTCAAGGAACTACTTCCACAGCTTATATGTTATATATTTTAATGGAAGAATGAGAAAAAAAAAATTTTATGTGTAAAAGAAGAAATAAGTGCATATTTCATAAATATTTTTCGAAACCTTTTTATTCTACACACTCTTCCCATTATTCTTTTTTGCATCTTTTATTGTAAATAGATACTTTACTTAATAATGCATGCCTGTAACAAGCTCTTTATAATGTGCTGCCATCTGTGTATGGTATAAAGAATCATTGTTCGGAATGAAGTTAAATACTGTTAATTGAAAGTTCATCGAAAGAAAATTAAAAAAAGAAGTGATTGAAACTTCAAAAAAAAAGTATTGACCAGGTAATATAACATCGAAATGATAACAATTAGCATATAATGAGAGCATTTCTTAGTTAACTCTAAAAGTATCTTTTCGTTCACTAATGAAACAAAATATATCTGTTTTAATTATTGTTTTAAAAATTGCTTGGGCACATTTAGTTTTTAGGAATTTTGTTATCTTCTCTTTTGAAATAAAAAATAATTAAGAAATTCGTCGGCGAATATCATATTTAGTCCTCAAAAATGCATCATTCCATCCAAGGATGAAGATTCTGAGCAGTAGACACCAGCTGAAAGGAAAAAAAAAACGTCTTGTCAAGGAACAGTTTCCAGGAGGCTCATGGTGCAGAAAGAGAGATTCCCGCTTTATGTGTTGTCATTCCCTCGTGGAACTTCATTCCAGGGAACTCAAGTTAGGGTACCAGAGGACAAGGGAACTCCTGGATCAAGTATTAGGGGAAATTTTCCTTTGTGATGGACTTTTGATGTAATTAACCGGCATTTGCGTTACATGGAGAGGAAAGCCACGAGAGCCTTCCACTGTTAGTCTGATGGCAAGAGGACTGACTCTAACCCATGATCTGTCAACCACTGAATATATTTCACATCAGCACTGTGGTCGGTGCGACCCTGATGCGTAATTTGTATCGATCAGCCTTTGCTGGAATTCAAACCTGGCTCACCACGTCGGAAGCCGAGTGCTCTATCCCCCGAGCCATCACGGCTCAGAGCGTTCGTTGTGGGGGGNGGTTTTACTGTATAATTTTGTCTGGAAGAAGAAAGCTATTTCTTCAGAGTGAATCTATACAAAATAAAGGAAACTAAAAATGACCAACATAATTGTTCTGCATCTTGCTTGCACCGACCGCAGTGATGATGTAAAATATCAGCTCATAAGGGAATTTTTGTCTTTCAAAAAGTTCTCTCAAAGCACAATCTATGGGGGTATCTAAATATGATATGTCACATATTATATTATTTCATTTATTATTTGTTTTATGTTTCACTTTCCTGCAACTAAAACTAGCATCTTAATATAACTCAAAAGAGTGCAGTAATTATTGTCTTAATATATTATGTGCAGGGAAAACAACCCTGTTTGCATTTGGTAACTTATTATTTTATAATAAGTTACCAAAAGCTAAAATAAATAGTTAGCAAATGCTCTTAGCAGAAACTTCCATTCAATTCCCAGCTATTTGTATGAAGAGCGACACTTGATTTCTTAAAGGTTTCATCATTTGTTTGTCTCGTGTTTACTAAGTATTTTTCTGGGTGTCACTTTAGCGAAATAAATTATTTTAGCATTTTTAATAAGTCTTTTAACAAATCAAAATGATGAATGATTTTGAAAATCATAAAACCTCTCTCTCTGAATTATTTCCGGCATTTTTTTAAATAAAGTAATGTTTTTAGGCTGCAGAAAAAAGATTGGTTTTATTGGAAGCTTTAGAAGATATACAGAATAAGAGTGGAAGATATAAAGATTCTAAAGAAAGTAAGATGATGTGAATAGAAGTTTTGTTATTTGATAGGTACTATTTATAATGAGAGAAAAAAACTAACAACAGCCGTTATTTTTAAAAAGTCTTGTTTCTAAGTTGCTTTATTAATTACATAGGGTTGCCACTCCACAGGGAGAACATGGAAAACCTGGAAAATACAGGGAATTTAAAAATCACCAAAAATAACAGGGAAAATGCAGGGAATTTTGATTTTTTTTCTTTACAAACTGGGAAAATACAGGGAATTTTTTTTCTAATTTTTGTCTTTTAAAAAATGGTGACCACTCAAAGCGTAATCTATGGGATGTTTAACAATGATATTTCTGCTATACTAAACTATTTCATTTACGATAGCATTATTTAAGTATGTGCAGCTGTTTTTTTGTCTAGAAGCAGTGGTTTTTACAATTAAAACTAATAAATATAATTAGCTGAACAATAACTCCCACAAGAGCCCAGTAATTGTTGTTTTCTCTTAATATATTGTGCATAATATGTACAGGGAAAACACAGGGAATTTTTTTTCTATATTTGAGTGGCAACCCTGAATACTAAAGATAAAAACTTATACATGGTGCATAGTGTTTTTTGAAGGTGCTTATTTTTGTTTCTCATTATTTAAAAGCCTTTAAAGGTGCTTTTTTCATCATGTGTTTTTAAAAAAGCTTAATTTTCCCTTTTAAAAAATGAGACTTTTTTTCGTTACCATGTCAATTTTCGCCTTGTAATATGCAAAAGCGTGCTTTTCACATTTTTCTATTAAAAGATTTCACAATTCATTTCAACATACCGTCGGTCCATAGCGTATGAAAACACCCCTCATTTTACATGCTTGATGAAATACTTGCAAATCCGTATGTGCGTCTACTGAGCTGGGTTCCGTGAGGTTATTGCCTTCTGATGTGCAACTTTGCTGCATTTTGTGAGATATTCTCAATTTCAGACTTCAATTTCCACCCTCTGATATCGAACCAAAAAATAACTGGATCATTTTATAACAGGCTAATAAAATCAAGAGAAGAGTTCTTTGTCAGGGACTAGTTATTTTCTCATGATCATCTAAAGTCTTTGAAAACTATTTTGCATTTTGTTAATGTATATAAGTGCTAAAAAATATTTTTTTAGTGTTTGAAAAGTGCTTTTTTTTTGTTGAAATATTTGGCTACGCACCCTGACGTGTGTTAAATATGTCTTTATTTAGAAATTAATACAGCAGTCCCTTGCACTGCAAAGGAGCAGGAAGGGCAAAAAAAGCATAATCATGCAATTAGGGTTTTGACTCCACAGGGAAAACCTGGAAAACACAGGGAATTTGAAAATCACCTAGAAGAAAAAGAACAGGTAAAATGCCAGGAATTTTGAGTTTTTCCTTACAAACTGAGAGAAAACAGGGAATATTTCTTATTTTTGTCTTTTAAAAAATTCACTTCTCTCAAAAACCAATCTATGGGATATTTAAAGATTCAGCTATTAAGGTAGATATTAAGGGAATTTGCAGACTTGGTTGAATATCTCTAGAGCTACTGGACTAATTTTTATGAAATTTGATGTGTGCATACATTGATGCAATACAAAACAAATAACCATTCAACAATTGTAATGCACTCGCATGATGGTGCGTAACACTCGTTGGAGTCGGAAGGTATGAAGCAGAGGTTGCAGAATAAGCAAAACAACAAAAAAGGGTTAATAGGGGGTATGGTCCCCTCTTACAGATATACTGGCCTTACAGAGTCATACTTTAATTAAAGCAGCTTATCATTTCCTGAGGCAATTGGTCCCACTCAACGCTGTTTTCATTCCCTGGATGGTTCTCGGAGTGGGGAAGCGAGTTGCTCTCCTCAGATCGTCCCAGAAATGCTCTATAGTGTTGAGATCTGGCTGTCCAATCCATGCGGTGAATATCCTCACTATCTAGAAATTCGTCAACCAGAAGAGTTCTTTGTGGCCTCGCGTTATCATCGATTAAAATGAATGCAGGGCCAGTTGCACCCCTGAAGAAGCAACCGTAGGGCTCCAAAACCTCACCAGGCGCAGAGCCTCTTACAAAGACATGAAGTGCGGTCATCCAACACGATGCCTGCCCAGAACATCAAACCGCCATAATGGTCGATTTTGCGGACATTAAGGGTAGGTAGCGGGTCTCTGGTTCTCGCCATATGAACGTATGGCGAGAATCAGTGTTTAGACTGAACCGAAACTCATCAGTGAAGAGAATGCTCGCCTTTAATTCATACTACAATCTCTATGCTCTCTGCAGCATGCTGAACGGACTCTCCTATTCGTAGAAGGGAGCGGGACACAAACAGCAGGTCTTCTTGCAATCAACCCTCTCTCATGAAGTTGTTTGAAACCTAGATACATGGGTTCCTGTGGCTACATACAAGTCACGAGAGAACTGAGGTGCTGTTATGCCTCGTTTAATGAGCAAATGGCAATCTTCTCTGTCCTTTCTGATTCTTGAATGACCTCGGCCCATGCTTTCTCTCGATAGATCCGGTATCCTGGAACTGTTACACACGACGCTGGGAGTTCAATTGAACCCTGTACAAATCTAGAACTGAGATTGGCCTTATTCTAGCCTCCCCACAATTCGCCACCTCATTCCATCATCTAAACGTTGGTGGTTACTCATTTTTACTGTTACAATTTGAATTTAACTTATTGCTGCAAAATAACACCAAGAAATTTACTGAGGTGTGCTAGCGAACGAAATATGTTTTAACTTATGCACACTTATGAACTACTGGCTCCATCTAAACACACTCATGTGTGCGAGATTTGCATTTTTTGTCTAGAAGCAGTGGTTTTTACAATCAGTTAAGTACTTTTCATAAAATTCGATAAAATATGCAAATTCTGTTAATTTATTTCACCATTGTATATTATTTCATTTATTATAGCATTATTTGTTTTATGTTCAGCTGCTCTTTTTTTCCAGCTACTAAAACTTGTATAGTTAGCTCATTACAGCTCATACAAGAGCACAATGATTGTGTTTTTTCTCTTAATATATTGTGTATAATATGTACAGGGAAAACACAGGAAATGTTTTTTTCAGATATGAGTGGCAACCCTGTTTAATTCATTCTGTTCTATTTATTGTTTTCTATTTGTCCAATAATGTTTTGTTTATAGGAGAATTTTCAGCACCCGCTACGAATTTTGGCATACAGATGGCACGTTTCCCACTGAGTCCGCGATATTCTGCAATGCTGTTGCTCTCTAAAAAGCATGACTGTATACCCTACATGGTGGCCATTACTTCTGCAATGACTGTTCCTGAAGTTTTCTTGAGTTCCACTGTTGGTACAGAGAATGTAAGTAGCACACCTTTTTGATGGACCTACATAATCTTGAAGGTAACCATCAATAATTCCATCACTAACTTGACAAGTATTTTATTGATGATAATATTTATGTGTTTTAATCATTTTTTTTAAAAAAAAATAATCTAATTTCAGAATGAAGATTTCAAAGTACTTTGGGAAGGAATTAAAAAAATAGGTGCTGGAAATGTAAGTTAATTTTCTTATTTTTAACATAGTGCATTATGTTTTTAAAAAATGCTTGAAGGTGCTTATTTTCGTTTTTAAAAGCCCTTAACCCACTGGCGGTTAAGGAAATGGGCAAAATTGGGAGAATGTTTCTCCCCTACACACAGTTCCCCTATCAATTAACATGGGAAAACCGGTTTCGCTATGCAGAGAAGACTGCTGGTTAAAATGCGATTTTTTACGTGCAGAACCGTCAGTGGGTTAAAGGAGCTTTTTTTCACTAGGTGTTTTTAAAAAGTGCTTAATTTTTCCTTTTCTTTACCACGTCAATTTTCGCCTCGTATTATTCAACGTTTTCACAATTCATTCAAACACAATCCATTTCAGTGTACTGTTGGATGAAAACGCCAATCATTTTACATTTTTGATGCAATACTCCCAAGTCCGTATGTGCAACTGTGCTACATTTTGCAAGATATTCTCAATTTCAGACTTCATTTTCCTCCCTCTGAAATCGAACCGAAAAATCTCTTGATCTTTTTATGGTTACGAATGTAATCAAGAAAAGATATTATTTGTGAGAAACTAGTTATTTTATCTTGAAATAACTAGTTTCGTGTCTTTGAAAATTATTTTACATTTTGTTAATGTATTTAGTGCTTAAAAATATTGTTTGAGTTCTTAAAAGGTACTTTGTTGAAAAATTTGGCATCTTGTTTGACAATTATTTTCTTGAATTCTATAGGGTAGCCAATTGAGACTAGGTGATGCAATGGTGCTACTAAGAGCCGTCGCATTATTTGAAAAAGCTGATAATAAGGTGAAATTTTGTATCAAAAATAAAATTAAACACAAATCTATGGTTGAAATTCATCAAATGGGACTTCAATTAATAAAAGAAAGTAAGAAATATTTGTTTTAATCAGACTTGCCTAATAGCAAAAGAATTGTTAATTTTTTCAGTTGAAAGTGCTTTTATAAATAATTTTTATTTAAAAAATATACTCTATAAAATTTTTAAATAATAGTTAATTATAAATCATGGTGCGCCAAAATTAAATAAAATGCTCTTACACCTAGAAAATTAGAAGAGATTCTGAATTTGCAATGTTCTTAGGTAATAAAAATCGAAAAATTAAAATAATCTGTGGAGAGATTTTTAAAAAAATCCACTTTGAACATTTTTGCTCACGAAGTACGATATTTCAAAAATGTTAGCATCATTTTATACTTATAAATAGAAAAAAAAATAATATATTTGTATTAAATATTCATAATAACAGTTCATAATAAATTTTATAATTATTAGAAGTTTTTTAATTGTTAATTATAGTCGATGAACCACTATTTAAAAAACAAAAATAATAAAAACTTAAATCGACTTTAGCGACACAAGCACTGTGAAATTAGCACAAGCACTGTGACTTTAAAAATGGCAGCTTCCATTCGTGTGTGTACACGAAGTAGAAAAGCAATTGAACCAGGATAAAAAACAAAACTTAATATCACAGCTCATTCTGTCGACGATTATTTTGATTTTAAGGAATTTCCTTTCGTTTGTATAAAAGGCGATGAAGTCTCGGATGCTCCTGCGCTTGGAGTTAACTGCAAAGATGTTCCTGCTTTTGTTCAGTATGTGAAAAATAAACGAGATGTACTGGATGTTCACTTAAAAATGGGTATTGCCGGAGGAGGTGGATTTTTAAAAATATGTCTTTCTGTACAATCAAATGAGTTGGACTTCGAGTGCAGCGGTAAGCGTGCTAAGTATGATGAGGGGATAGCTGCAAGAAAATTTAAGGATTCTGGAGTTAAATGACTATTCATTCTAGCAGCCGTTCCAAGTGCACAAGAAAATTATAAGAATGTAGATCAACTCATTTCAACGTTGAATATAAGTCCTTTCTACGGCACAATTGCAACCGATTTGAAGTTAGCGAATATCTTGGCTGGTATAATGTCGCACAGCAGCGCATATCCATGCACTTATTGTTATGCCAAGAAAGATGAGCTAAGCAGCTGTGGTGAATTGAGATCCCCCGAAAATTTTGCATCGTATTATACAAGTTGGCTGACTGAAGGAAAAGGTTCAAAAATCAAAGCGAAAGATTATTTCAATTGCATTCATCCACCGCTAATTGCAACTGTTGTAGGCAAAACATTCCTAGACACTATTCCACCTCCAGAATTACACCTTATGCTTGGTGTTGTTAACACTGTTTTCATGCATATGTTGAAAGAGTGTGAAAATGAATCTCTGACATGGACAAAAGCTTGTCACGTTCAGCGTGAAATCAGACGAAGATGTTCTGGGTTTAAGGGAAATGCATGCAAAACACTTTTGGATAAAAAAGAACTTCTGCGCCAGTTTGAAACTCTAGAAATACTGAAGTATGTTAAAGTATTTGACGACTTCAAAAAGGTGGTTTCTGCATGCTTCGGAAATAATTTTGACCAAAATTACAAAGCATGTATAGAAGCTTTCAAAAAGATCTACGTGGACTTAGGTGTCAGCGTTACACCAAAAGTTCATGCAGGTTTTTTTCACATTGAACAGTTCTGTGACAAAAACAGTGAAGGATTAGCATTTTTTGGGGAGCAAGTGATGGAGTCCGTACATTTTGATTTCTTAAAGTCTCTCTTAAATGAATAAGGTTGCTGCAAATCACCTGGATTATCCTAAACTCCTTTCGAGCGCTGTTTGTAGATATAATACTTCATATGTTTAAATTGATGTAATTATAATTAAATTATGTTTCATTTTCATATTTTATCAGCAGTAAAATGTTTAAGTAATAAAAGTTTAATAGAATTGCAACTGAAAAATCATTATTATATCATTTTTTCCTTTCTATTGATATAAAACAACTCCAGATTTTCCAAAACATCATACTTCGTGCGCAAAAATGTTCAAAGTGGATTTTTTTTAAAATCTCTCCACAGATTATTTTGATCTTTTGATTTTTATTATCTGTTAACAATGTAAATTCAAAATCTCTTCTAATTTTCTAGATGTAAGAGCATTTTTTTTCACTTTGGTTAAGGCGCGCAGTGAAATGTGAATAAATTTTTTTTTACATAATTAAGTAAATAAATTATTAATTTAAAAACAGAATGAGCCACTCAATATTGATTGTATTTAAACGTGAGTCAAAAATGTTAGCAATGTTAAAACATCATTTTTCAACATTTTTTCAGTTGTCTTCTCAAACATCTAAAAGTGAGACTCCTTCTTCTGGAAACTGTTAAGAGATTCAAAAATCTAAAACTCATCCTGATATGAAACTACATTCTTCACATTCTCTCCTATCCCTCATTCTAATTTCCGACCAATCCTCTAATTAACAAATGATAATTTTTTAAAAAAATTAAAGAAAGCTTAAAATCATAATTTTTTTAAAATTTCAATCAAATTTTTGATTTGTATTTTTATTCACTTTTTGACAATTTTCAATGGTATCATCGAGTCGATTTTCAAACAGTTTTTGTTTAACTTTTTTACGAATATTTGACTTTCCTTTGACCCTGAGTCGCCAAATCTCACCAACAGAGTTTTTTCATCATCAAATGAGAAATCGATGGGCTCCGGCACACGATTTCCGAATGCTTCGGGCGTGACACCGAATCCATCACCCAAAATTAAAACTCTTTCAATTTTGAAATGGAAGTGTTTTTTTAAAAATTAAATCTTTAAAAGTGTCGTACTTTCTTGTAGTTTCAGGGTATCCATGCACTTGGAAAGTAATGAAAAGTCATGATTTTCGATATTGAACGAAATTTGTCGTGAAATGTCATGATTTTAACTATTAAAAAAAATTCATGGGAAGTCATGTATTTAGGTTGCCAAAAAATCTAATTTTTAAAATGGAATTTACCCCCCCCCCCTCAATATCCTGTTGTTCCAAATATGTGAATTTGTAACAAAATCCCCACTCACAGTCATATTTTATTAAAATATAAAACGTTATTATGATGTTTGTCTTATTAAAATTATTTATAAAAATAAATTATGGTGGTCTTTTTAAGAAAGAAAGAGAAAGAAAAACCGTCATTTTTAGAGCGAGTTATCTTTTAAACTTCTGTGATTCTGAATTTTTGTTATTATTTTTTATTTTATCAATTTAAAATTCTAGCTGAAGCAAGCCAGTCATTTGCGAATTTTTCTTATTCCGAAATATGAACAGAAAAATCAGGAGTATTTCTTTCCTTTTCCATGAACAAGAAAAGTATCTTTAGAATATAATTCTGCAGAAAAAAAGGGGGGGGATTATTTGCTTTTGTATTTTTCTCAACTATTTTATTGTTTCAACTCTTTCTTTATTCTGTTTTTTAAATTTAAAATCTATAAATATGACGATGCAGAGTATAACAGTTGTATAACAATCTTGACCTATCATTTCAATTAATGTTATTATAATGGATGAATTTTTGGAGATGAATTCAATTTCGGGGCTGGAGCATTCGGAAAGTGGGTGCCGGCTGCAACAATTTCTCGTTTGGCAAGATTTAGCAACTGAGATTATAAGTTGGCGACTCAAGGTCAAATGAGAGTAAAATCTCCGAAGAAAGTTTAAAAACCCGATTTGAAAACCTACTCAAGTGCATTATAAATTGTCAAAAAATGAATAAAAATGTTGTTGAAATTTTTACAAAATTATAATTTGCAGCTTTTTTTTTTTTTTTTAAATTTTTCAAATATTAGTTCTTAAATACAGAATAGTGCGTTTGAACTTGGTCAGAAACTAGGATGGGGTTCAAATATGTGAATGGACCTTTTTTTTGTAGTTTAATATCTCATATAAGGATGAGTTTCAGATTTTCAAATCTCTAACGGTTTCTGGAGTCTTAGGCAGGAATTTCAAATCTATAATGGCCTTCAGAGATTTAGCAATGGGTTCGAGAAGACTCGGCTGAAAAATTATGTTTTTCAACACTCGTAAATGTTCTGAAACATTTTTGACCCACTAAACTTTCAACAATAGCAAGAAAAAATTTTTATTGCTGCACATTTCCTAATTATGATATTTGTTTAGTGCTGAAAAGGTGCTTATTTTTTGTTGAAAAATTTGGCTAAGCACCCTGTGTCATTTTTGAAAAAAAGTTTTTTTTTTTCCTTTTAGTGAATCAGGCCTACACTTTAGAGATGCCTTTACATTTGAAAATGGATCAACCATCAGTGGAAGTTGTTGAAAAGATACGGAGAATTTTGGCAGCCGGATTTGTTGATCATATAGCAAGGTATTAATGACAGTATAACTATTTAACTAATACAGTAACATTATAACTATTACATATTACTGTGAAAGACCGAAGTTAATGCTTTCTCCGGGGTATGTTAACCATAGCTGCCAACTCTACTGTATTTTCCAGTAAACTACTGGATTGTGCCAGTTTTTACTGGTTTAATTAAAAATTCTGTTTTTTTTTTTNTTTTTTTTTTTTTTTTTTTTTTTTTTTTTTTTTTTTTTTTTTTTTTTTTTTTTTTTTTTTTCAGTTTAGAAAATTTCCTGAAATTGATTAAGTTTCCTATAAAAAATTCTTATTGAAATATACTTTTCGTACAGATTATTGCTTGCTTGAATATTTAAATAAGTATTGCTGATACATAATAAAGCGAACCTCCTTTATAGAAATCAGTTAAAAAAAAAAATTTTTTTTTAATTTTCAGTTTATTTTTATTTAGAACTTAACTATCTCTGATGAATTAAATGCCTATTAATATTCGAAAATGCTCTCATAATGAAGATAACTTTTAGTGCTAGTACTGTTCAATGCATGTTTTTATTAAATTCAAGTTGAAATTTAATTAAGGACAATGGATGATTTTTATGGATTTTTAAATTTGGATACGATTTTAAAACCGAAATTTTACGATAGCAAAATTGTTTTTAAACATATGAGAAAAATATATATAGAAATTTAACAGTCATAAATTTTTTATTTGTAGTGACAATTTAATAAAAATATTTTCTTATTTTACCATATTTTTGTGTTGAACTTTAAATATAATTTTTAATTTTCACAAATTATGTCTGAATTTTCACAAAATAGGTACCACTTAAAAAAACCTAGACAGACCCCTGACATAGCATTTGAAGTATGTTGAAAGTCAATCATAACTGGAAAATATTGTAGTTTTGATGTCCATAAAATTCCCTATATGTAAAATATTTAGTGCATTATGCAACAATTATGAAATTTATATTTTGTAAAATATACAGGATTTTTTCCAATCCATGTTGGCAGCTATTGTTAACAATAACATAGTCGCTTTGGAGAATGTTCAAAATGTGTGCTAGTTTGACATTAATTTATTCTTCAAAGTTTAAATATTTATTCAATATTTTGATATCAGAATGGATTAGAAAAAGCATTCTTGTTGGGAATACGGCTTAAATAAGTTCAAATTCCTACACTGAGGTGATGGTTACTTATGTTGGTTATCATCAAAAAATATAATGATAGATTTATTGATAGTTACCATCAAGACTGTTGGTCCATCAATGGAAAACCATCAAAAATTTGGGCTACTACCTCATTTAACTAAATTGACACTAAATCATTTAAAATTGGAAAATTCTTATCATCTAGATTCAAAGTAGCAAGAAAAATGTTGCTCTATAAAATATGTGTCATCACCCTAACCAAGCATTTTATTTTTTTTTGTTGATACTGTTAGCTAGTTAGTTTTTTTAAGAAATACAAATTTATTTATCAAGAAAACTTTTTCAAAAGCCCCATCACATTTTTCTAATTTGAAAAGGCTAGAATTGCTGACGATGTCAAAATGCGTCTATCAAAAGGTCCCTAAGATTGAATCAAGTTATTATATACTAGTGAATTGATGTTTAATAATTGTAGTGATAGTTACGCCACAATACTCCCCCACCAGAATTTTATCAGGGTTAGAATTAGATGAACAGATACCACTAGTTGCCATATTTGGGAATGACCGTATTTGGGATTTTGAGCACTTGTGGTGAGAACTGTATTAAGTTCACCGAGTTTTGAGCGTTTGTCGTGAGAACTGTTACTAAAATCACGGTTGTATGTGTGGTCTCTCCTGTGTTGCTGTTAGGAGTCGAGTGTGCTGTATTAACAATCCGTTGTGTGTAAATAAGACTGAGAACAGGATGCGTAGCTTTTTTAAAAAGTGCTTACTTTTTATTTTCGATTTTCAAAAGCCCTTAAAGGCACTTTTTTTATTCTGGGTTTGAAAAAAGTGCTTAATTTTCTATGTTTTGAAAAGAGATTTTTTCTTTACCATCTCAATTGTCGTTCTAAATTTTAAAAAAAAATGCATGCTTTTCACAATTTTCTCTGTAATATTTATCAGAAACTAGTTATTTTAGCGTGATTATGTAAAGTCTTTGAAAATGTTTTTGAATTTTATTGATTTTATGCTCATAAATTAACTTTAGGCAATAGAAGAAAAAGAATTTCTTACTGCACTGATACTAGTTCTGATTGTTTTTTTTAAATGATTAAAAATTTTTTTTTAGTGCTTAAAAAGTACTGAAAAAGTGGTTATTTTTTGTTGAAAAGTCTAGCTATGCACCCTGGAGAAGCAACAATGTGAGGAGGATAAAAACGGAGTCGCAAATAATTGGTCAATTTGGACCATCCATCAACCTTTCAATGTCGGCGAGTTCATATCACGTCCACAGGTCACCAATTGCGACAATGTCAATGAGTTATCATGTCTTATTTACTAGTTTAATAATCATAATGGTAGTTACACCACAGAATCACAGTTTCTTCTAGGTCATTCAGTGAAATGTTTTTTAATGAGAAAACGAAATTTTATTTTTAATTCTACACTTTCTTAAAACCAGTTATTAAATTAGCTAAATTTATTCAATTCACTGAAATATCTCTTAAAAAAATTTTTCCACTAATCATTTTTATTCATTCGTAAAAGCACAGATTCTTTTTTTTTTTTTGTTGTTGCTGTTTTAGATTTGCTAGTTTATCTTTTTTTTTCTACTTTATTAATAATTTATTGTTTGAAAAAATAATTCTTGAATTAATTGCATGATTGTGTGAAACATTTTCAGAAAAATGCCCACAGAAGAAAATAAAAAAGACAAAAAATTAAAAAATGCTTATCAAGTAAGTATTTCATAATTCTTTTTTTTTTTTTTTAAATCCGAACCTTGATTTTTAATTAAAAATGAACGTTATAGAGTTATTTGCCTTTACTTTTTTAAATTTGTTGTCGTTTTATGTAATTGCAAATTTTAGATAAAATGTTAAATACACTTAGTTTTATGCCAGTAAAACTAAGTGTATTGAGCTACTGAACTTTTTTTTCTCTTCTGCAGAATTATATTCAAAAAATACCTTTCTCACATACTTGAGGTGGAATAAATTCTCCTGATTTTTTTTTCTACTTTTCTTTTGAGAATAAAAAAATTCCTCAATGACTGTCTTTAGCTAGAATTTCAGATTGATATTATAAAAAGTAATTTTCAAATTAGCCAAAATTTAAAAAAGGTTAACGATACAAATATTTTTTAGAACAGGAGAATATCACCAATAATATTAGAATATGTATTCTTTTATGTTTAGATATAAATAAATTACTTACATTTATAATTTAAGAAAATATATATACTGTTCTATTCTATACATGAAGGCTTTTTTTTTCTATTCTTTGTAAACAGAAAGTGCTTCTGTTACTTTAAATTAGTAACATATGTATTTGCTACTATTAAAAATTTCTTTCTGAAAGGTACTAGAGAGAATTATGTGCGCAGATAGCTAAAAAAGAAAATTCTGCTACGGGGCTCTTTGTCTCAATAAAAATTCTCTTGGTTTTTATACATTTCGGAATATTTCCTAAAATTGAGTAAGTTTCGTATGAAATTTAATTTTTAGTTTATTTTTTATTCAGAATGCCCTTTTAAATTAGTTAAAAAATCTTAGCTATCAATAATAAATTAAAGACCATTTATGCTTATTCGTGTAATAAAGTTCTGTTAATAATAAAAATCCCTGCATGTAAAATAGTTAGTATATCATTAATTTAATTTTATGTTATAAAATGTACTGGATGTTTTCTTATCTATGCCGGCAGCTGTGAATATTGAGGGTTTTTTAAATCCAAGATATTTTTTTACTATAGACAAAGCATTATATACGTGATTCTCAACTTTTTTATTTATGTATTTTTTTTTTGCGGCACACTTTTAACGATCTCAAAATTTGACGTCACACAAAGAAGAAAATAAGTTTAAAAGTTGTTTACCTATAATAACACTGTGTAAAATATTTTATGATAATAATTTTGAATCAAATAATATGGACTAGAAAAGCATGTTTATTAAGGGATTAACTGTTATTATTTTTCGCTATTTATTAATTATTAGCTTTTTTTAATAGTTATTTCGATCATCAGAATGATCAATATTTGGAATGGAAATTTTTTGTAGCATCGAAAATTGGGATTTACCTAGATATGTGCAATGTTTCGCAATGGCTGGGATAGCCTTGTTGGTAGGGCACTGGGACCATGTCCAAGAGGTCGTTTGTTTAATCCCCGTGTAGTGAATGGTTAATGCAACTAATGCACATTAAATCTGTCGTTGGGTTCAAAATGACTAGGCTACGGAGTTCAACATTAGTAGTCATAAACCCAAAATTGGATCGGTTGTTCAACGACAGATATAAAATAATGTAATTGTTTGAAATATCAACGATATATATTAATGTCTTTGAGTAGTTATGATATTTCAGCTACAAAGACAATATAACAAATAAAAGAACAACTTAACGAGAAATCACAAACAAATAACATTTATTGTGGGAAAAAACTGACAATTAATAACTATTAAAAAAAACAAGCTGACAATTAATAAATAGCAGGGGAAAAACGAAGTAACAGTTAACTTGTAATTAATCCCTTAATAAATGTGTTTTTGTAGTACATTTTAAAATTAAAAATTATTATCATAAACTATTATTATAGGTAAATAATGCATACCAAATTTTGCAGGTATAATAATGCATGCCAAATCTTCTGTTTTTAAACTAAAACTCCTGTATTTTGCGACCATCGCCGTTACATTTTCAAATTTCTCGTATTTGTTGAAGAAAATTTTAAAAAGAATTTTTTGGCGATTAAATATCCGCTGATGCAAAAATACTTCTTTTATTCCTCAAGAGATGGTACTATTGCCAGTACTGCAGTATGTTGAGTGTTAATAGTTTTAAGTAACTATAAATAATGGTTTAAAAAAATCTTTAGATTAAGATTAATCTGCATATTTTTTACTTCGCTGAATGTGAGTGCATATATTATTTCCAATTTTGAATTTCTCTTTTTGATGTGCATGATGTATCAGAACTTAACTGGTATAGTAAAATCTACGTTATTTTATTTCTCCATTATATTTTATTCTTTGTGTTTCAAAATCGTTGTGCCGCAACAAAGGGTTGATTAATCTTTTAATCTTATGTTGTGTTTCTATTTTAGTGTATGGAATTGAAAGATCCTGTCTTCATCCATCCAAGTTCAATTCTCTTTTCTGAATTGCCTGAATATGTTGTTTATCAAGAAATCAACCACACTTCTAAATACTACATGAAGGGTGAACTATTTCTTTTATTCATACTCTTAAAATAAATTCATTTTGTGCACCTCATTATTTCCCATGAATAAACCATTATGTACTCTCTCTGCAAATCGGACACTCCAATATTTATTTATTATCTGTTCAAACCTGAACACCACTTTTTCAATATATATATACAGTAAAACTTCCGTTAAGCGGACATTCAAGGGACCGAAAAAGTACCCTAATGACAAAGTTTAATAATGTTAATTGTTTTTAGAATATTTTCAAAGATGTAGAAATACAATTACTATCTAAAGGATATTTATTTAAACTTTAAGATAAAAAAGAATATATAAAGAAATTTGATGTAAATAGATGTAGCAACAGATAAATGAATACAATTTTCCTATTATGATACCGAATAGGAGCTTTCAGTCCTCAGTCGGTTTCAATTATTAGGTTTACATCCCCTTACACCTACCTATCAAATGATAGGGAACATGATTAATACCTTCTTGAAAGTAAACCTCCCACGATTCACAGTTAAGTCATGAGGACCTATGGAATTGATCAGCTATCAAGTGTCTGAATAAGTGTTTCATTTATATGAACGCATCAAAGATTATATTTCTGTTCTATTTTTTACCCCAGCTTTATTAAATAAATCTTCAAATTGATAAGAAACTTGAAGAAATTTTCAATGGGAAGCATTGAGAGCATTTAAGATATCATTTCAACTTGAGAGGCCTCATAACCTGTGTGGTCCAAATGAAAAGATCAAAAGATGCCGCTGTCTGAATTTTTTCAGGAGAGCAGTATCATTTTCTCTCCTTTCTTTGCAAAGATAAGGCAAGGTGACAGGTGAAAGATTAATTCTTTAGTAGTGAAATAGCTTAACAATATTTTTAGTTATACATAAGGCAAAAAATAATCATGTTTCAGGGGTCTGTCCACAGCAAATTTACTATCGTTTAGCGTTACCTTCAAAAATTCAACTCAAGGATAAATTATAGTTTCACAAAATACTTTTGAAAAAGCAAGATTCTCTCCCCCCATCTCTTAATAATTTTTTTGTTCTATCCCCATAAAACTATAAACTTAGGGTTAATTATACATTTTGATTTGCAATGAAATCCTCCTGCTAGATTACTATTATGAATTTGCTTCCCACACAGCTTGTAAAAAGAGCACTTTTTCTCCCAATGCTTGGCTGAAAGCATGCTGAAATGCCGTGGGAAAATAAGAGTCTGCCACTCCGTTCCTTAATTGAAGTGGGACAAAAATCACTAGTTCAATGCAAATCCGTTCTCGTTGCAATCTATAATAGAGAAAAAAAAATTATTATTTTTTTTTATGAAGCATTTTTTTCTCTGTGAAACTTTTTTCTGTATTACCCAGTCGAAAATGTTCTCATAACGAAGATAACTTTTAGTGCTAGTGTTGTTAAATGTATTTTATTCAAGTTAACTAAGGACAATTATATTGATGGAGTTTTAAATTTGAATACAATTTTAAGCCTAAAATTTTTCAATAGCAAAATTGTTTTGAACAAATATGAAAAATGGATTATTACCATTTATTTTTTTTTATTTGTAGTGGCAATTTTTAAAAATATTTTCTTATTTTATTATATTTTTGTGTTGGTTTTTTAATATAATTTTTAATTTTCACAAATTATGTTCCTCTTAAAAAAAAAAGCCTAGACAGATCCCTGTGTTTGTGTGTATATATGTGTATATATGTATATATATTGTACAGTAAAATCTCCGTTAAGTGGATATTCTTGGAACCGAAAAAATTGTCCGTTAATGAGAGTTGTCCTTTTACGGGAAGGGTACCCTAATAACGAAGTATAACACAATAAAAATTGTTTTTAGTATATTTTCAAAGATGTAGAAATAATTAAATAATCTACAATAACTATCTACAAGGATATTTATTTAAACTTTAACAAAGATTAAAAATAATATATAAAGAAGTTTGATATAAATACATCATTCTGGATGTAGCTAAAGATAAATAAATATAATTTTACTATTAGCATAGATATTCAAGTTAGGCATATGATACCGAATAGGAGCTTCCAATCCTCAGTCGGTTTCAATTATTAGGTTTACACCACCTTACACCTACCTATGATTTGATAGGGAACATAACTAATACCTTTTTGAAAGTAAACCTCCCACGATTCACAGGGGGAAAAAAGCATTGCACACCTGTAAGTCATGAGGACCTATGGATTTGATTATTCACAATTGATCAGCTGTCAAGTGTCTGAATAAATGTTTCATTTATGCAAATGCCTCAAAGATTATACTTCTGTTCTCTTTTTTACCGCCGCTGTGTCCAGTACAGTCTTCAATTTGATAAGAAAATGAAAGTTCTTACTATTGTCTTTTAAAAAATGGTAACCACTCAAAGCATAATCTATGTGATATTTAAAGGTGATAGTCAGCTATGCTAATCTATTTCTTTTACATGTGTTCAGCTGTTCCTCTAAGTTTTTCACTTAATTAAAACAGTTAACCCAATATGGCTCACACAAGAGCACAGTAATTATGTTACCTCCTAATATCTGTGTATAATATATACAATGAAAAAACAGGAATTTTTTTTTCCAGATTTGAGTGGCTACCCTTATATATATGGGTCATTCTCACGAAAACTGTCATTTTTCAGTTCATAAAATCCCAAAAAAGTAAAGTGAATAAAAAGCTCTGAAACTTTCTATATTAATAGAAATATGTAATAGCATTATAAAGAAAGTATATATCCTATAAATTATACTTAATATTTAAATTAATTAATTTTTTAAATAATTAATTTATAATTAATTAATTTATAATAATTATTAATTAATTAATTAATTTAATAAATAAATTAATTAATTTAATAAATTAATTTATTAATTTTTTAATTTATTTTTCAAATTAATTAATAAGTAAATTAATTATTTTCACTATTTAAAAAGTGAGGGAATGACACTAATAGTGAGGGAATGATATTTTATTTTAATACATGTTTTTATCTAAGTTACATCTACCTAAAGTTTGAAAATGATAACATACTAAGTATATCTAATATTTATTATAATTTAGTCTTATATATTTAATAGTTTTTACAGGTTTGGGAAATAAAATTGGCTGGCACGATTGAACAAAAAAAAATTTAATAATATACTCATCTTGAATCATTCCCTCACTTCAGCGTCATTCCCTCACTTTATACACTAGTGAGGGAATGACGAATTCAATAAAATTTAAAAATAACAGTTAGGCCTAATTAATTTCTGAAGTCAATCACATACAATTATATTCATACAAGAAAGCAACATATAATTATCCACTTTCTCGATGAAGTTGTATTTTATTTTACTCTAAAAAATGACATGAGGGAATGACAAATGTAAAAAATTTTACCTGGTTTGATTCATTCAAATTTATTCCACAGCAAAGCTTCTTTAAGTTGAAGATGGAAACATACTGCAATTTTGTTCTATGATGCCAGTTGTTAACTTCTGAAGTTTTTATTAAAATATTTTTATTCTAAGAAGATTGCAGGTGATAAGAACATTGTTGTGAGGGAATGACGCGAAACACTGGGGACAAAGTTTAAAATAGTGCTGTGTTAATATTTTTATCAGAAATTAAATTTAAAATTGATTTTCTGAATTCTATATTTCAGTATTCTGAAATAAAAAACACGAATTTGTAAAAAAAAAATTTTTATTTCAGAAACAATTTTTTTCTTTTTTTAAATCAGCAGTGGGGACAAGTGAGGGAATGACATATTGGTATATTTTAATTACCTAAAATAAATAAAAAATAAAAATTGATAATTTTATTTTTATTCTTTTGTTAGCTTGCATTCTGAAGGACACTTTCCCTGAAAATTTTTTTTCGTAAGTTGTAAAACAAACATAAAATATACTGGGGACATGAAAATGACTGTTTTTGTGAGAATGACCCATATACATATCTGTGTGTATATATCAGGTATATAGGCTGAGCTACTTCAAAATATACTAATACGAAATAACTACTGCGTTAAGCATGACAAATAAATTTAATAACTTTAAAAAAAACATGAACTTATTGAAGATTTTAAATTTGTCACAGACATGCTATAAAAAATAGTCTTTTTGTATGCCACACGGGCTTTTTCACTTTCATTCTCACACAATGATTCACAAAGAATGCCTTAGTCTCTCCCTCTAACATAGAGACAGTGCCATCTAGGAGTAGAAGTAGGCTCTCTAAGTCCGTCACACAATAAAAAGACAAAAATGAAAAGTGAGTTTAACGAAGAAATTTAAGAATGTGAAGAGGAAGAAAAAAAAAAAAAGAATTAAGTTTTATTTATGGCACATAAGCTGCAAACCCATAAAATAAGTTATAAATGCTAAGAAAACAAGGGGGAAATTTTTTCTTCTCTATGCGTAGTACATAACTTCAGAAACCTTCAATGTCCATGATATTTCGTGGTTTGAAAATATTTTAGCATTCACAAGGGCCTTCACTTCAGCTCTTTTACACGGTGAAAGATTGCCTTTTTTGCCTCCAATTGATTGTTTATACACTGCTCCCAAAGTAAACAAATAACTGCGTAGTATAAAACTGCGAAACAAATAAAACATAGTGCATAAAGCCACAGTGCATAAAGCAACTGAAGCCGGTTTGCATTTGTTTACACTTCTATATAAATTGGTTAACATTGTAATTATATTAAAAATAAATCAAATAGGAAGTCCATAAAAAAAATTTCTGAATAAAAACCCAATTATATTTATGTCTAAATATAAAAGTATTGCCTATAAACTCGTACAAAACATGTAATTATTAAAACGCTACAGTGCCTGTAATAACTTGACCAGGGACTGTATATATGTCTATCTATATATATATATATACAGTGAAACCTCCTGTTATTAACTTTCTGCAAGACTGGCAGCTTTCAATATGGACATATTTTTAATTCCCCAAGAATCTTCAATGAATAAACCATTATGTACATTCTCCGCAAAGAGAACAATCCCGTAACTGGTCGCGGACATTCATTTTTGCCCTGAAACTTTATTTTCTATCTCTTCAAACTGGATACTACTTTTTCTAAAGTCGAAAAAAAAGAACTATTTCTGCTTTAAATTACAAGGGGAAAAATGCAACTTTTCACCATTTTTAAAACATGGAAATTTTGTGCCTTATCAATAACTTATATATTATAATATCATATGATATTAATTTTTCCCTTTCAGTATTATGCAAAACCGTGCTTTTCACATTGTTCTATTCAAGGCTTTCACAATTCATTCAACCACAATCTATTTCAAGATATTATTGGTCCATAGCATATGAAAGTGCAGATCATTTTACAGGCTTGATGAAATGCTTGCAAGTCTGCATGTGATCTGGGTTTGGTGAGATTGCACTCTCGTGTGCAACTGTGCTGCATTTTGCAAGATATTCTCAATTTCAGACTTCATTTTCCACCCTCTGATATCGAACAGAAAAATCTCTCGATCATTTTTTAATGGCTAATATAACCAAGAAAAGAATTCTTTGTCAAAAACTTTTATCATGATCATGTAAAGTCTTTGAAAATTTGTTTGCATTTTATTAATTTATATAGTGCTTGAAAATATTTTTTAAGTGCGTAAAAGGTGCTTATTTTATTTTTTGGTGCTTATTTGGCTATGCACCCTGTATTAACTTCAATGCACTAGTTATATATATGTTCTTGCATCATATACTGATTGTATTAATTTTGTAGGAGTTGTTGAAATAGAAAGTCAGTGGATANGACTATTTTTTCTTTCATAAACTAAATTTTTAAATGATTTTCATCACCACTATTCTTAAAAAAGTTAAGCATATATATTAATATGCGTTAGTAACGTGTTCGTCAGCTTATGGTTTTTCAAATACAACATATTTTTTGCTTAAAATTGAAATTCTAATTCCATTTCAATACCACTGGGAAAAATTATAAGGGAAGGGATTAAAAGTTGGCACATATGAATTTATATAGTGCTTGAAAATATTTTTTAAGTGCGTAAAAGGTACTTATTTTATTTTTTGGTGCTTATTTGGCTATGCACCCTGTATTAACTAATATAAAGATTTCGTATGACTTAAAATATGCTTTTTTTTCCCTTCAATGCACTAGTTATATATATGTTCTTGCATCATATATTGATTGTATTAATTTTGTAGGAGTTGTTGAAATAGAAAGTCAGTGGATACCCGGCATCGCACCCAGTCTTTGTAGTTTTTCTGAACCCAAAGAAGATCCACAATATGATGCTTCCAAAGATAAAATATATGTCACAATGGACGTCAAAGTGGGTGAGTGTTTATATATATTATAAATTGGATTTCACTCTTCAGTCCTGAAAAAAGTTCAGTAGATTAATTAATAAGTAGACTAAATTTCATCAATTAATATCTCTTTCCCATTTGTTTTTTAAATTAAAATGTCTTTTTTTTTCCCTTTACCCCTTCCTTCTCGCTCTTGTGAAATGGCAGGGTGAGGTTTCACCCTCTATTTCTCACTTCCCTGAGATTTCTGGGCTGGAGTGTTCTGGGTAGAATAAAACTAATTCTTTTTTTTTCCCCGAAAACATTTTATTTCTCATTTTACATACAAGATGGCAGTACCAGGATATTTTTAAGGTAACTGTGGATAGTTAGTTTATTGTAAACTAGATGTCAGCACTAATCAAATAGCACTAATTAAAAAAAAAAATAGGTACCTTTATGACCGTTTTCTTGAAAATTAACTGACCGTTAAGGGGTTAATTGGTTAGCAACTATTTCCGGTTAAAAATAAATATTATACAGTCGGACCCCTATTTAACGAAGTCGTTACATCCTCAAAACATTCGTTATATGGAAAATATGTTAAATAGAAAATCACAATTTGAAATACTTAAACAATAAAAACAGGTTTTGAATTCAAAAACACTAGACATAATTAAAATAGCGATTGATACATCTTTATCTTGTTAATTATTAGCGACTATCGAATTGTTTTTAAATGATTTTATCATATGAAGGTTTGGTGATTTCTTCATCATTTCTGTCTTCATCTTCCTCACAATTTGTTGCTGCATTGATTTTATTTTTCGCACTGTCCAAAATATCCCATTCAGTTACTGTTTCTTTGGCTGAAGCTTTAGAATCAATAAAAAGAAAATCANTTGGTGATTTCTTCATCATTTCTGTCTTCATCTTCCTCACAATTTGTTGCTGCATTGATTTTATTTTTCGCGCTGTCCAAAATATCCGACTCAGTTACTGTTTCTTTGGCTGAAGCTTTAGAATCAATAAAAAGAAAATCAATATTCAGTACATCATTAATTTCGTGGTTCTCTCCTAGCTGTACCATCATTTTTGAAATACAAACAAAAAGGAAAAGGGATTTTACTTCTTTCTCTAAAAGTTAAGTGGCTGCAAAAGTCAATTCAATGTCATTTCCCTCATAAAATGTGCAAACAGGTTTGAAATGTTCCGAAATATTTGAGGAAATAGGGAAAGTGGATCTCAAAGAAAAGTTCGTTAAATAGAAGATTCACTTCGCTATTTGGAAGTTGTTTTACAAAGAAATTTCCTAAATGTTCTTGGTTCCTCAAAAAAAAATCACAAAATAGAGAAATTCTCAAACTGGAAGTTCATTAAATAGAAGTCCGACTATTTTAAAGAAAGCATTTTTATTTTTCATAATTATTGCTAAGTAATGATCTCGCACCCAAATGAAAAAATGGGATTGCTGCTTCTATTATAGTTTGTCTACGGTAAAAACTCCCCCCGCCACAACTTCTGATGCAGTCTGCTGCTATGGAACCAAAAATAGTACGTTTCAAGGAAGGTAGCTTCTCCTCACTCTAAGGCTAACACTATAGACCGAAGATTTTTTTATTTCCAATGGCAGAGAATACAAACAATAACACAGAGGAACAATAAAAATAGAAAATAACAAAAGGCCAAAGTCATCTTCCCAAAAGCTCTCTCGCACGCCAATATCTTGCGGTCTCAGAGTCAAGTCCTACAGCAATGGAGGTGCTCTCTATTCATTGGTGCTCCAGACACTGAGGGTGGTCATAAATACCTATACGATGCAGGTGTTCTCCTAGACAATCATGACCTGTTAGGAGTCTAAAGTAGGCTTATCTGGTACTGCCTTAATATCAATCTGTCTCAGTCCAGTTTCTCGTAGGTCAGCAGAGACATTCATTTTCATTGTGTTTTTTATATTGAAGCGACGTGACATCACTCATCATATTCTGCATAAATTGTTTTTATAATTATTTATTAACTAAGTTTGCTTTAACTACAACTTTAATTCTTACTTTTTAGAATTGCATTTTAATGGTGTTCTATTATTTGATCTTTGCGTATTTGCATCTTAAATATTTGATGCCGCATTTAAACTAAACTAGTCATGTATAAATTGTAAATAAATGTAAATAGTAATTATTTGATGTGTTTATAAGTTCAAACCATTCATTACGCTTCAATATGTGGTTTTATGTTTGACAATCCAGAGCAACTTGGATTTGTGTTCCCTTGCTCCTTACCATAGATGGCTGGGAATCCACTCTTTTGTTTTTTAGTGCCAAAAGTCTCTGACACTGAAGCAGTTCATCCGACAAAGTTTCTCCCTGTGAGCTAATCGCCTGGAATATAGACCGAAGAAAAAGATCAACTTTCTCTCATCAACCCAAGCCAAAACCTGTCCTAAGCAATGACCCCGCATGAAATAGTTATACCTCGTTACCATAGTCACCGCCGCGGGTCCAGACGAATGGATAGGGGAGTTCTTACTTTAGACAAACTATACACAAGTATTCAAAAAATGAGTGTCTACAAACAATGCTTCAGTGCCTACTTGATTACGCAAAATTTGTATCATTATTGTGTCTAAATTCGATTCAGTTTTCGTCTTGAAATGTTGATCAAAGTAAATTAAGATATTTTATTTTTTTCAAAAAAGAAAGAAAGAAATTTTTTGACAGGAGACAAAAAATAACAGTGAAGTAAAAAATAAGCAGCAAATAATATTGAAAAAATGTGGGATTTTTTTCTGTAAATTTTTTTCGCATATGTCTAAATCAGTGATTCCCAAAGTGATCTATATCGACCCCCAGGGGTCGACACCAACCTGCAAGGGGTCCATGTCAAGTGGGGGGGGAAATTGGGGGTCCATGAAATGAAAACGGGGGTCAAAGATAGTGGTTCTCATGTAAGCAGATTGTGACTTTAATTTTGGTATTTCATGAATGGAATAATCAACATACACTGATAGTACCTATTCACTTACATTATAGTACCTTATAATATGAAGAAATATGTCTATCTACATTCTACATAATTCATAAAAGTAGCTATGAAGTAAAAAGTTAAGTTATTAAGATTATTTTCTGATATATGAAGCTGAATTATTATAAGCTAGCAGTTGCCTGAGCTCCGCCCGTGTACATTTTTATTTTCTCTGCTTGTAAGGTTTTATTTTGTAACAAAAAAGTGTTTAATTGTAGTCTAGCCTGTGTCAACTCTTTAGTTAGCTAGACCTCCAACTTTATCTGTGGTTAAGATCACGGAGATTTGTTGCTTTATTTTTACATGAAAACATAATAAACAGACTGACGATACACTACTACGGTTTTGTATGCAAGCTTATAATTATAATATTAGTAGCAGAGTAGGGGTTTTATAGTGCACTATTTTATTCCATTTACATATTATTAATTAAATTAAATTAGTATGTTTCATAAAATTGTTAAAGTTGTAGGCATTCGTTATGTGGTCGCAATAAATTTGAACTTGTAAGAGCTTGCACATATACTTATCCCGTATCAAGGAATATCGCAAGAAAGTTTTTAATTGCTTTTCCATCTACATACCTAGCGGAAAGGGGTTTCAGCACAGTTGCCAATCTCCTAACAAAAAGAAAAGAAACAGACTGGAAATCATTAACCTGAGGAGATTTGAGATTAAACCTAACTAAATTGATGCCATATGTTGATAATTTATTATTAAAGCATCAGGTTCATCCCTCCCACTAATAGCATTTAATTATTACTTAGTTGTTTTCTATAAATGATACTAAATTTTAATTAGGTTCGTTTTAATTTGAATTTAAATACTAAGGTATAAAATTACACTAAACTTCACTACAGTTAGAAATTTAAATCTTTCACAGTACAGTGAGTAGCATTATACCAGCGGTCAAAAATACATTTGAAGTTTATGAATTTACATAAATTCGATATCAGGTAAGCAGGGTGGGTCTTCCCAAAACCGAAAAGCATGGCAAGGGGTCTACGAGACAAAAAAGTTCGGGTCTAAATGATGTTTGTATTAACAATTTAAATGCACATAATGTTATACTTTATGGAATTTAATTAACAATTCGATACAAATTTAACCATGCACCTTGCCATCGGGCTAACTGTGGGAGGTTTTTCTCTCTATGCAAATGCGGTTAGTGCCATCAAAAAGTCCCCCAAGAAGGCATTAAGTACTTGATACAGAAATTCCCTTGCATTGGGTTCAAAATGTAGTTGGAACATGAGTAGTCTTAACTCAAAAATTGGGTTACATTTCAGCCTCAGTTATAAAATAAAATATGATACTATTCTCATAGCTGCAAACATGGACAGGAAAAAATTCATTTACAAAATATAAATTTTCTGATAAGTGTTGCATAGCTGCCAACTCTACTGGATTTTGCCAGTTTCTCCTGGTTTATTTAAAATTCTCCTTGTTTTTGCACATTTTAGAAAATTCCCTAAACTTGAGTATGTTTTCTTAAAAAATCCCTATTGAAATAAAATTTTTGAACTTTTTGCTTGATTATCTAACTAAGTTTTACTAATGCATATTAAAGTGAGCCTCATTTCTAAAAATCTTTTTACTATCTTTAATGAATTAAATGCCTTTTAATATTCAAAATTATGAGTATACGTAATGCATAATATGTATAATGTCAATCATAACTGGAAAATATTGCAGTTTTTCTATTTTGATAACTATAAAAGTCCCTGAAATTCCCTATATGTGAAATATTTAGTATATTATGGGACAATTATCATGAAATTTATGTTTCGTAAAATCTACTGGATTTTTTCCTATCCATGTTGGCAGCTATTCTTGCATAATGTACTAAATATTTTATGCATAGAGATTTTTATAGTCATCAAAATAGAAAAACTGCAATGTTTTCCATTTATAATTGACATTAAATTGACTTAAGTTTGAAACGTTTTTTATTGTGTTAACTTATAATTTTGAATACTAATAAATAATTTATTATTGATATTTGAAAAGCGAGTTCTAAATATGAATAAACTGAAATTTTTCTTTAAAAAAATACACTATAAGCTGATTGCTACAAACTAGGCTCTCTTCATTATGTTTTAGAAATATTTATTGAAATATTCTGTTCAAGCAAGCAATAAATTGCATAAAAATTCTATTTCAATAGGGATTTTTTTTTCTTCATGGAACTTACTCAATTTTGGGAGAATTTTCTAAAAATGTACAAAAACCATCAGAATTTTTATTAAACCAGTAGACGAGAAGAGATCCAGAAGAGTTGGTAGCTATGTATTATAAACCAAGCAATTTAAAAGTTCACAACTTTATTAAACTATTTTATTTTTACTCTTTTATTTCTTTGTCCATATCCTTCTTCTTACAATGAGTCCCGCAGTAGACTGATCGTAAATAGACGGTACCCAGTAGAACACCAAAGTCAAGCATCACTGGCTGCGGTCAGTAAGCAGGTGGGTGATCACTTTGATTGGCCTGCGTATGAACCGAGGGTGCGCAGTATCGGTCCTCGTTAAACTGTTCTACCATAAAGTGTTTGACTTCGCACGCAGGTTGTCGGGCTACCAAGGCAAGGGAGCCATCCCCTCTGCTGAGGATCAAATTTGCAATCAGGGTTCCCACGGTGCTTGAAAAACGTTGAAAGTCCTTGAATTTAGTTGGAAAAAATCAGGTCCCTGAAAAGTCCTTAAATTCTGCCATTGGGTACTTGAAAAGTACTTGAATTTTTAAGATTTAAAATAATACTAATCTTTCTTACAAAAAAGCAGTAAAAAAGTAATAAATAAATTTAAAGGAAAATTATAGAAATTCTGATAGATGCAATTTTTAATGCTTGAAATGAAAAGGGGTTAAAGAAGATGCAAAATTTTTCTCTCCTAGTTTTTTCTCACCAGATTATTGTTCATCTCTCTGATGTTTTGAAAGCTGAAATTTCTATCAAACTTTAGGTTTTTTATGTAGTCATAGTTTTCAAATGATATATAGTGTTTAATCAATTTAGAAATATGTTAAATGTGTTAACTTCATTATAACGACAGGTTAATATTGTTATCCTATCTGTTCTTTTAATTTATGTACAAAGGATAAATTAATTTTTTATCATTTATAATCAAATTTTCACATTTAGTTTTTACTGCTAATAAATCAAATTTAGTTCTACGGGTTTTATTGATTATGAATAAACCTTAACTGATTCTTGATTTACGGATTGGAATTCATATAAAATGTTCCACGAATTGCGATTTAAATGAAAGCGAATAATGAATCACATATTGAATATTACTTTAAAGTGATTTGCAAATTACACATCAGGATTCGTATTAAGGTATTTTATAAATCTCACATCATGATTTGCATTTAAGTGATTTATCAATCACACATCATGATTTCAAATAAAGTTATTTCTGTATCATATAACAGGATACGTATTTAAGTAATTTCAGAATCATGCCTCACATTTCTTATTCTAGTAGTTTTCAAATCACGCGTTGCAATTCACTTAAGAGAGATTTAAGAAACTCACAATTCTCATCAAAATGATTCAAGAATCATACATAGCTGTTCTATATTAAGCACTATTCACATGAAAACTATTAGCTAACCACGCAACAGAGTTCAAATTTAAGTTATTTATGTATCACACATTATGACTTACGACTTTTTAATTTGTGTGTTTTGTATCATTTGCTTTTCATATTGTTCTGATTTTAGAAACATACACCACAATTCAATTTCAATTTACAAATCACACATTGTGATGCGTAATTTACGCAGTTTTCGAGACTTACTTCACCTTTCTTATAATTTTGATTTGCATATAGTATATCTATATTTCTGTAAATACAATTTAAAAATTATGCTTTGTGAAAATTATACATGTTCACAAAATTTTAAAAATTACGCTTCACATTTTATGGATATATTTTAAAAATAAAGCTTGGTAAGTCTTAGTTAGTTATATGTAAAATATTGTTCTACAATAGATTTTATTATTTTCAAAGTACATTACTGATATTCTAAAGTAACAAAATAGACAATTTGTTATTAAAATTAAGACAGATATATTAAATGGATATATTTTGATGTTTTATCTAATTTTTCTGTAACCTAAAATTTGATCTAACTTATTAGAAGAAAATATTTATATTTTAATAACCGCGCAATCATGCAAACTTTATCAATTATTTACTATGCTTGTTTAATGTAATATGCATAATTCATTAAATTTTGTATGAAGAGTTCACTGATGCTAGTTTTTAAATGTTGGCTAGTATCGTTTGTATCCCAATTGGATAATTTATTTTTTTTTGGTCAATTGGAATTTTTCAAAGTTATTTGGAACAGCAATGTAGCTATCAACCATTTGTATTATTAGCTGATAAATTTAATATATATTTTTCTTTGTTGTCAAATAAGCATTGCGCTTTAAAAATATACAATTGCTGCTTCTACGTAATTGTAAAATTTCGTTGTCATGTACTTTAGCATATAACTAATGCCGAATAGGTCCTTGAAAAATTTGAGTCCAGTTCCTTGAAAGTCCTTGAATTTTTTAGAAAAATTGAGTCGGCATGTCTTCGGATCATCTTCAGGGATTTTCCCAGACCGTCGCCATTAGCCCATTGTGCAGCTCTAGTGAGGTGTCAATGGCGATTTTTTACGTTTCTTGTAAACGAATTAGAACTACATTCATTTTGCCTTTATATGCATAAATATTTTTATATTCATTTACCTTTGATTTTAAATAAATATTTTTTTAGAAAGATGTTTCAAAAGAAATATAAATAAATAAAAGCATGTAGTGTCAGATAACATTAAAAGTATAAATTAGGTGACCACGCATGCTATCACAAAATGCTGTTTATTGAATTTATCTGACTTAGAGAATATAAAATAATTAAGTACGTGCAATAAACTATTACTTAATTATAAACTGTGCCTAATTAATTTGCATCATTGTTTACTATATTGTGTGTCTTTCAGGTTGTTGGTCGTGGGAGATATTAAATACAAACATAGAGATGCCAAAAGGAATTCCGAAATACCAGTGGTTTACATTCTTTTTATTAGATGGCCAAGTGTGTCCCTTTTTTAAAAATTATCAAAGACTTTTAGCACCTTCTCTTGTTCTAAAGAAATGGGCTACGTATGTTCTTTTGATTTATATATCTATTTAAATTTAATATGCATTGTAGTTGTTATGTATGGAAAGCAATATTTAGTATACATTAGAGTTTCATTGCTCAGAAGAATGGCTTTTTCTGAATTGAAAACTTATAGTTGAATTATAATGCTATTTATAAATTACTCATAATTGTCAATACATTCTTTTAGTGTTTTAGATAATTTTGGTCATTTATTTTAAGGTAGAAATTAATTCCAGTTGATGTCAATCCCATGCAACTCCCATAATTGTATTGCTTGTTAATTTGTATTTTGAAAAAAAAAATGCCTTATTTCATTTCGATTTTGGCATTTGATTTTTATGCAATAAGTGTCGGGAGAGTCGTGTACGTCTTACATAAAATCGAGTTGACATGTCTTGTATACAAGTGAATTGTATTTTTGTAGTGGTAAACACGCTGCAGTACTTCCCCACCAGAATTTTATCCGTGAAAAGGCCATTAGTTGATTCATTGCTGTTTCGTGAGAAGCCAGGAGGTCTGTATTAAGATCACCGTACTTTTGAGTGTCGATCGAGAGAGCTGTAATAAGTTCACGGTCGTGTTCGCTAATGGGTTGCCATTTGCAGTCCAGTGTAAACAGGCTGAAGTTGTGTGGGATCGAGGCGTCGTTATTAACAAATCAATGATGATGGTCTTTGGTCGTCTCTCGATCCAAGCCTGTAAATAAGGTCTTTGATGTTTATTGCTACTCTTTTGTTACCTAATTGCTAGCATGTTATCATATGTGTTTTGTTGGTTTATGGATGACAGAATCGTGGCGACATTGTCGCAGAGGGTTATTGCAGAAAGATTTTTCTTTTGAGAAGTAACAAATTTCGGTTATTTTTCTGCAGAAAATTTCGAAAGTTTTGTTTTTTCTTCAGAATTACATTTAAAATGTGCCTTTCTCGCGCATTGGAGTAGAAAAAAATGCTTGTGATTTTTTATATTATCATTTGATAATAATAAAAATAAAGAATATTAAAGTAAAATATTTGGTTTTCTTTTCTGTAGAAATCTCCTTCAAATATTTTTTATGCAGTCATTACTATTGATTTCCACATAGTTTTTAAAATCAATATTTTTTTCAGGGTGGCCACCCACTTGGAAAAGTGAAGGAAATTTGAATCTAAACCTGGAAAAATCAGTGAATTTTAAAGAAAAGCTGGAATTTTTTTCTTAATTTGAATTATTTTACCATCCTTTATATCCACTTTATTTAGACTGATATTTTACGTACGATACCAAGATGCACAATTAATCATACTGCGCAACTAAGATTTAACATAATTAAATTATTTTTTCTGTTTAAAGCAAAATTTTGATAATAATAAGTATTTTTATTGTAAATCAATAATTAATTGTTTTTGCATCAGACACCACTGCTTTTATTTTTAATACATTTGTTTTTATTTATTTCCATCTCTTGTTTTGCTTTTTCTTTATGAAATGAAATATGAATAGAATCCATCTAAATATTCCTTTAGGTTAATTTACAATAATGTATTTCACTTCAGTAACCTAATAAAAAAATTTTAACTATGCTTTGCTTTAAGTTATTTATATTATAACTTAAAAGTGATCAAAGAAGTTTTTGTATATTTTTCTTTATTTAATTTTATTTTGTTTATTTATTTGAGGTAAGAACTCAGTTTTAATTTTTTGAGAAACAATTTACTTTATTTAGAACATTTTAGATCAATTATTTTGCTTAGAGCTTAAAAAATGTATGTATTTAGAAAAAAAAATTCAGAACATTCTGTAGTTATTTATTTATTTTTTTGAGTAAAGAAAATTTTTATTTTCAAAAGATAATAAGCCTACTTGCATAGCGAACTACAACAATAACACACATCCTATTCAATTATTAGGTAAATGGGATACAAATCGTTAGTAGTTATTGGGCCTGGGCAAATGAAACTGGAAAGGGGATATTAAAAAGGAATTTATTCTAGAATTAATTGATTGTAAAACTTACCTTGTTAACAATATACAAAATTTAAACCTAAATGATTATTTATAAAATGAACTCGACCAATATGCTAACAACATATGATGGCACAAACAATAATAAACAAGTGGCCAAAACAAAACTCTACCGAAATAGTCCTTTTTTTAACATCTCTAAATAACTCACTTCAAACTCTCCAGAATTACAGCATATTTGAACTCATAAATTATATATTTTCTTGTTAAAAAATAAGCATATTTCTTTTATTATCTGTTTGAAACTATCGCCTCGCAGAATAAGCTGTATACTTTTTAACCGGACAAGAGCTTGTTGCTGTTTACATTTATATTGAAAACACCATCTATTAAATATACTTTTAAGTTGTCATAATTCTTCGTTGGAATGCTTCGTCAAAGATGCACACAGTTTAGCAAGTAGACACAGTGCGACAAAGTGGATAATGTCGCAGTCACAAACAGCAAATGAACTGTTCAATATGGACCTTTGAAGTAGGCGTGTTCAAATCAAAGTGAGAGTTTCTGTTGAGGTAGGCGTGTTCACATCACATTTGAAGGTCACCAATGTGGAGGTATGATTTTTGAGAGAAATAATTAAACATGCTGCTTTTAATTAAATTTATACTGTAAACAGTATTGAATAATAATAAGAATAGTTGAACAAGCAACAATAATAACAAAAGCAGATCGTTAATATAGCTATGTATACAAAAGTAGTAGAATAATCAAAAAGAGAGAAAAATTAGTTTTTGTATTCCTCGTTATTAGGGGATGCCGGACTTGCAGCAGTGAGCAGGTCACCACAGTTAAAGAAATGTGTGAATACTTTATTTTAAAAGGCAAAATATTTTTATAATACGGTATATTATAATATAAATCTACAGCTTTGTTGCAAACAGAAAATAAATAAATTTCAAAATTGACTTATTGTTTCTGGCTTTTATCTTTGTTTCTAAAATATTTTTCTTTTTCAGAACATATAAACCTGAATACGTGTATTTTCTAAATGCACTGGCGTCTCGAGAAATCGATTGCCGTAAATCTTTAGAAAATGTGTGGCTAGCTGATTCCAAATGTAAGAATTTGTGAATTAATTAATGCTTAGAAAAATATTTTTTATAACTATAGCGGGGTTGCCATTACATAACCAAGAAAATACAAGGGAATTTGGTTTCTTATTTTCGTCTTTTAAAAAATGGTAACCACTCAGAGTAAGAATATTTAAGGATGAAATTTCAACTATATTATTATACCATTCATATATTTCATTTACTGTAGCATTATTTGTTTTGAGTATGTTGAAGTTGTTTTAGGTATTCCTCTGAGTTTTTTCAGCTATTATAACTAGTAATTATAGCAAGCGGAATAGTTATATGCAACTTTAATCCATCAAAAAAGTATATGATCAATTTCAAGTGGAATAATTATACATTTTAGAAAAATTTTCAACAGAAAGTTTTTACACCAATTGAATTGCTAATAATTTATGTATGTCTTTAGAAACCTTAAAATAGCAGAAAATTACAATGTTAATAAAAATAAATATTTATTGAAATGGTGAGTTTATATTAAATCGTTAAATAATTATCAAAATCATTGAAGAAATAGGTAGGTCTTTTTTTCATAGAAGAGTTGTCAGAGTATTTTGAGGGGTTTGTGATCAAAATGTTTCATGAATAAAAACAGGGTACTTTTTAAAAAGTACTTATTTTCTAAGCTCTTAAATGTGCTTTTTTCATTAGGTGTATTCCTTTTTCTATCATGTCGGTTTTTATCACCATTCATGCCAAAAGCGTTTTCACACTATTCTATTCAATGTTTTTACAATTCATTCAACTGCAGTGATAATATCATAGCTGCCAACTCTACTGTATTCTGCCAGTTTCTCCTGGACTACTGTTTTAATTAAAATTCTGCTAGTTTTTGTACATTTTTGAAAATTCCCTAAAATTGAGTAAGTTTCCTTAAAAAAATCCCTATTAAAATAAAATTTTTACACACATTATTGCTTGGTTGAATGTTTAAATAAGTGACATACATAATGAAGCAAGCCTAATTTATAAAATCCAGTTAAAAGCTTTTTTTTTTATCTAAAATGTTGAGTTTATTTTTATTAACTCCCTTTTTAATTTAATTCAAAAATATTTTTACTATATTTAATGAATTAAATGCCTAATATTATTCAAAATTGTGAGTAACCATAATACATACATAAGATTTAGTTTTTTTTCTATTTTGATGACTATAAGAATCCCTAAAATTCCCTATGTCTATAATGTTTAGTACATTTTACAACAATTATCATGAAATTTATAATATTTCGTAAAATCTACTGGATTTTTTCCTATTCATATTGGCAGATATGTAATATTATTAAGATATGCGCACTAATAAGAAAAATTTCTTCCTCTTAATGGAAGTTCATATGTATGTATATATATATCCGAATTATATTTGGGGAGATTTTCATATTGTGATCTGCGGCAGAATAATCGCGAGTTCTTGGCCGCGGCTCATAAGAAACTTTTTTTTAAAAATGTCACAGAAAGAAAGGAACTCAAATCATAAACATCTACACGTTTTTTCTTCTTTTTTTTCCCAAAAAAATTTACTAGCTGAAAAAAAGTTTAAAGTTTACAAGTACATTATCTATTTTGTCAACTTGGTGGTGGTAGTTGGCGCGACAGATTACGGCACGGAAATATCTCCTTATATTTTTTTAAAAAATTAAGAGTTTAAGAATATTTTTGGGTACTTTAAAAGTGCTTATTTTTTGTTCAAAAATTTGGCTATACACCCTGAAATTTCTGTGCATTTACTTTGATTTATTTTTTTGCAGATTTATTACAAGAATTTTTAGCTTTGTTGCCGTCAGAGAAACATTTAGAAGTAGAAGTGAGATGGCCTCCTAAATCTTGAGAAGCTTGATGTGTAAATAAAAGAATAATAAAATATATTCATTCCAAATACACTGTTAACCAATTACTATTTCTTCTTCTATAATATTTCAATGCCTTATAAACTATGCTCAAACTCTAACAAGTCTTTCAACTTTCCTTCTGTCTAAAGTAAAGACAGAAAGTTTTACCTAAAAATATTACTAGGTGAAGAAGCCTTCTTTCTATAAAAAAAAATATAGTAACTAAATACAGTAGAGAACCGATTATCCGGAACGATAGGGACCATCGTGATTCCGGATAACTGATTTTTCCGGTTTTCTAAATCGCTACAAAATGCCGTTTTTTTAATGTTTATAAAACAAAAATAAAAAAATTATTTTTAAATAGTTTTAGAAATAATAAAAAATTATAAATAATAATACACTTAAGTTTAAATAAGGAAAGAAATTATGAAATAAAAATTATATGCAGGCTTATATGTTATTAATGTTATTATTAACATTAATAACATATATAAGCTATTTGTGCTTATGTGAGATTCGTCTTCAAACGGCTTTTGATCCGTCCTCTAAATCAGTTCTTTCGTCAACTCGATACGCCGTACGCTCAAAATAACAAAATGGGCACAAAATTTTGCAGGGAAAAAAAATTTTTTTAATGGAAGAAATTTCATTTCCGGTTCCGAATTTCATTCTGATTTTCCGATTTCCGGATAAGAGGTTCTGCACTGTATTTATTTACGTTCATTGTCTAAGGAAGCTCTTATAAGATTAACAAGGAATAAAAAAGAACGCAACAAGAGAAAGCAGATGGCTTCACTTATAGTTTGTCTAAAGTAAGAAGTCCCCCCACCACGAAATCTGCTGCTATGGAAACAAAGATAGTGCATTTCAGGGCAGGTAGATTCTCTTTAGTCTAATGCTAACACAATAGACTGAAGAAACTGTTCTAAATAATGACTCCACCCCCATACTTGAAATACTCGTTAAAATAGTCACTGCCATGGGTCCAAACAAATGGCTTGGGGAGTTCTTTCTTTAGATGAACTATAGGTTCCCCCACGCAGAGCCGAAAAACAACAAAAAAGCTTTTAATTAATAAGTTGCTGTTCTTGCATCTTCTTCGGCAATAGAACTTAGCAGATGTTGCCAGAAACTTAATATTCCTTTAACATATGATTGATTCAAATCTTATGAACGAATCATCAACAGTTATGCCTCTGTGAAGAAAGGGACACTTGTCCTAGGACAGACGCCCGATATGATGCCGATTTTGTGTAAAGGATCTTCAAAAATTCTACAGTATATATACCTCTATACACACAATATAATATCACACAATATATACCTCTGGTCAAACGGTTTAATAAAAGTTCTCTTTGTTTTTGTACATTTTAACAGATTCCTTAAAATTGAGTAAGTTTCCTAAAAAAATCCCTATTGAAATAGAATTTTTATACAGATTATTGCTTCCTTGCTTGAAAATTTAAATAGGTATTACTAATACATAATGAAACGATCCTCATTTTTAGAAATTTGTTTATAACTTTTTTTGTTCTAAAATGTTCAGTTTAATAAATANTGTTGCCATGAATGGGTGAACCTGGTCTGCAACTATGTTCAAGTAGCTTACAGACGTCAGGGATTGTTCTATGAGGATTATGGGTCCTAATGTGCCCCATGAAAACATTGTTCCTGGGCGAGAAACCATGAAGACCTGGGCGAGCCCATTGTTATAGATGGAGGGTGGTCATAATGTTATGGCTCTTCGGTGTATATTTGTGCTTTCATTATTGATATGGATTTCAGAAATGCATTTTTATGGGCTGTCTTTACGAAACACCCCGTATTTATGTCACATCATATATCATTATCAATATCACAACATATGCAAACTTTGTAATAGTATGTTATGTTGTAATAGGTTGTCAAAACTGTAATATTTTGTGGAACACTAAATATCATATCATGTCAAAATTGTAATATATCTAAATAATAATACCATGACAAAATTTTAATATTATGCCAAAATTGTAATATTATGTCGAAATTGTAATAAGATTTTTTTCTTAAATTTTCAAAAAACAAATACCAGTTTCAGTATTTTATTTATTCACAGCCATTGTGACAAAAGCGATTACTTTTTGGAACAACAAATGACGATTTTCAAGTGAGAGGACAAGAGTTTGGTTTAGTTTGATTTGTCGGAAAATCAATTAGTGTTCACGTCATTTATGTCAAAAGTAATAAGTGTCATTTAAAAAGGCTGTCATTTAAGTAGGGCTGATTTGTTTTTCTATTGCTCGTTCTAAAATTTTGAAATACAAATAACCTTCTCCTCCTATTTGTGGTCATCAACTTTCAATTTCTCAAATTAATTGAGCCCATAACATACTAAAGATTTCTTCATATTAAAATAATTATAGAAAAATATTAAACAAACATGATTAAGAAATGCATCATTTTCAATTAGATTGAAAGGCAAAAAATATTTTTTCAAACGTATAACGAAAAATGTTCTATACATCATTTTCGGAAAACGTGAGAGCAATTTCGGTGGAAGCAAAAGTTTATAATGAAAAACTGGTGCACGCTACGCTTTTCGATTTAAGTTTAGCAAAATTAAACTAATCTATCGAAATAAACTACGTTTTGATTCCACTTATAAATATTAGTTGCTAAAATTGTTATTTCACTTATTTTTTTTTCTTTTTCTGTATATATTTTGCGTCTGCTTGTTTACTTAAGTCAAAAATAATCAAATATCAATTGAACAGAAAGTAGCGGTACAGTTTGCTTTACAATTTGAAAAAAAACTTGTACCTTATACTCGTATATAGAGCTTCTTTTGAAAAGTAAACGCTCTAACTAATTAGAAAAACCTTTTCAGTCGACGAAAAAATCTATTTTGCAATAAAAATGAAAAATAGAGAACTACACTCTATTTTGTGCGATCAGAAAGTGATTGAAATTTGTATTATCATCAGAAACAGAGTTGCCACTTAACTGAAAACGAATCTATTACAAAAACTAAAACATTAAATAAAACTCTTGCAGACACTATATTCTACTCGTGTTAATTAGAAAATTATTGAAAGTATAAGGAGACGTATTTTTACCGGTTATACCCTAGTTAGTCTCACTTTTGGTTTGCGATAAATTTGGCGAAAAACCCTGCTTGTGACAGTATGTAAAGGAATGAGGCCTACAATGAAACCAATCACTGAGATAAAGTAGATATTCAATTATTCTAATTGGTCAGAAAAGAATCAAAAACTTCATTGAAAAATTCCACACTTACTAAAAGCGCGTTTGTAACAACGTTGTTAGAAATTGTAATATTGTACGAAATTCTAATACTTAAAATAATAATTACAATTTTAAAATAAAAAAATAGTGCGTGGAGTCCCTCCGCGCGGAAGAAGTTAAACTTCGTAACCCGCGACGTTAATTGTAGAAGAATCAGCAGTCGTAGAAGGATCACTAGTTTTACTCAAATACTCTTTTTTCTGCTCCGCTCGCTTCCGTGCTCTGTAATAACGGTAATATTGTGCATGATGTGAAAAATCGTTTACAAATTTTAATTATTCCTAACGGGAAAATCATTAGAATGATTTTTTTATGCAATACTTTAACATTAACCATTGTTAGAAACAAAGTTTTAAACAATTCTGTTCATGATTTTGTCAAGTTCTTTAATGCTTAGTTGTCTTTTACAAGTTTAGTCATCAACGTAAATGGCACGTGAACGTTGCTTCGTCACTGAATTAGCAACTCCAAAATTATCTGAGACTACGTATTTATTTTGCTCATGTTGGAGCTTTTATATAGTGTTGCTGGGAAAAAATAATGTACAATTTTTTTCAAAGACTTAAGGAGTGCTTTGACGAATCCATGCCATATTTAAAGAGAACAAGTGTAATAATATTAATTTTTTTTATAAATTTTCTTTTAAATAACCAACGATATGACTGAATGGACCATGGGAATAAAGCCTCAAAAATCCTCAGCCAGAAAATTTAAATAGCAAATTAATGCATGCTTGCTAGCCGGCACTTTGGAACATGTGAAGAAATCCGAAAACTAGCAAATTATCGGTAAATAATACAACCAAAAACAAAGCTAACCCCGCGATATTAACATTAAATTTTAAATAATCTGGCTAACAACTTAATCATCAAAAAGACCGTTAAAATTTCATATTCCCTACAACAACAACAAAATTTTGTGGTAAAAGAATAAAGCAGCTTAAAGAAAAAAAGTTACAAAAGTATATTTTGATCATTTAATTAATAAGTTATAATCTTCTATTGTATAGAAAGTTGGCCGTTACATTGATTGTTATGAAAAGAATAAGAGTATTTTTATTCTTTTTTTATTAAATGAGATAAGAATTAAATAATTTATTTCATTCAATTATGACAGGATTAGAATGATTAAAAAATTTAAGTGAATGAAAATAAATAAATTTAAGCTATAGGTTACATGTCATGATTATAATACCATCGCAATAGACATAATACCTGAAAAAATAGCCCAGACTACATAAACTCTATTTTTATAAGTTGCATGCAATATTTTATTTATTATTTTACCTTGCAAACCCATAAAAAAGTTGTTTCTTTTAATTTTTTTAACTACTTTATTTAATCTTTAAAAAAATTTATTTATACTTTAAAGTAGTTTACTATCACAAAAACTATCGAATCTCGATCATCTTTTAATTATTTTGCAAGTTTTTCAAAGTTTTCTATTCTTTATTCTATTATTCAGTTATTGTTAGCTCTACTTTGTTGAGCTTATTTAAAGAAACGATTACTTTTTAAAATTAGTAAAACATTTTTTTGTGAAACTAATGTCTAGACAGCAAGCCAGCTCGTTCAAACAAACCACAGACATCCCGTTTTTAGAAATATTTAAGTTTGTTCAAAGTCTAACGAAAAGATAAACTTGTTGCCCTTTTCAGAAGAATGTAACATGGCTATTGCCTTCTGGATATTTTCGCATTTTTAACAACATAAATGCATTAAATAAAAAACACTTAAAAATTCTTTGATCGTTAATAAATAT